CAGGATGTGCACAATACTTCTCCAGCTGAATGGACTCATGCCTTAGCACCAAAATGTTCTGACGAGTTAATGAAATAAAAGAAGACAGAAGAACACAGTTTTCTTTCCCTGCTTTCGGGTGGGGGGGGTGAGCTCTTCTTAGGGATCTTAGGCACATTTCTTTATCTAGGAAAGTGCAAGAACTATTCCTCCCTTTTCCCTTCACTGGGAAATGGAATGGAATCAATAGAATCAATATGTACTATCTAACTGTAACTTTCCCTGTGATCTATTGCCCTGGAACTTTCCAGTGTTCAGAGTTAGCAGACCCTTCAGTGGCTCAACTCTGACATTTATACAGTGCTAGCACATACTGGACCCTCGTGAAGAAAGTTTGGGAAAGCATGTAGGGGCATTGCTCCCATCTGAGAATTATACCAAGAAGGATCAGCGTGAACTTCTGTACTAAGATTCTTGTGTCAAGGTCAGAAAGAATTACTCAATAAGCAATTTTTCAGTTTTGAAACAAACTAGCCTGGCTGTTACAAGGTCTTCATGTATGACTGTGATCACTCCTCACTCGCTTCCAAAAGGTATCAGCAGCAGAAAGACAACCTACAGAAAAGCAGGAACAGATTCAGACCACTGTCCCCTCTCTTCCCCTTGCAAACACTGGGCTGGCCCTTAGAACTTCTTCCCACCCCCGAGTACCAGGGACAAAAGTTATCTTATAGATCATCTCCAGTCATCCTTCCGATAATTCAGACTTCTAACAAGTGCTGCACTTTAAATCAAAAAGAGGAAAGAATTTTCAGAGATCATTTACGGTGGCTCACTTAAATAAAACCATAATTTGCTCAATGCAGAAATTTTACAGGTTAACTTGAGCCAAAATTACAAAAATTCAGGAACGCTACTCACAAACTGCAAAACACTAGTGTCATAATAAAAAGCTCACCACTATATGAATAATACATGCTCAGTACAGTGGAAATGGTAAGCATTTTATTTGCAAAATCACACCCAAGAATACAGAGTTGCCTAAACCACCTGGTCAGCGCTATACTGCAAAGAATCACTGATCCAGTGTGTGAGGCTGTTGCTATGTATCCAGAGACCCTTTTCCAATATTGATTCCTCAGTGTGCCTTATCCTCCTTATACCAGCAGAGCTTAATGAGTAAGGAGTATAGAATACCTGTAGAACTTTAAAAGAAACCAAAACTCACAAAACCTTATCTATGCAACTGCTATAATTATGAGAAATTACGAAGGCATGATAACAGGACTTAAAAAATATCCTAGCCAAAGAACAAGAGTTTGATTTTTGTAGTATAGTAATGCTCATAAGTGAATTTTTTCTTTCATTTTGATTTCTGTTAATGTGGTCTAGGAGACAAGTTAAGAATAAGTAAAGTGGCATTAATTACATTAAGTGTGGTGCTGGCATAAGGACAGACAGACAGATCAATGAAGTCAGACAGACAGTCCAGAAACAGACCCTGGTAAAATAACTTAATATATAATAAGGCAGGCATCACAAACCAGAGTATAAGGGGCTGGGGAAGAAGATTTATTTAACAAAAGTACTGGAGCTACCAGTTAGCTATTTGGAAAAAAAAATACATTGTGATCCTTACCTCCTGGCATAGATAATGCCAAAATTAATTCCATATGGATGAAAAATTTAGGAGCATTAAGACAAAAAGCCTAGAAAAAGCTATGGTAAATATTTCTGATTTCAGGATAAGGAATATTTTAAAACAGTGGTGGAAATTACAATGAAAAAGATCAAAAGATTAAAGCCATAAATATTAAATTTCACAAAAATAAAAAATATTACCACCAACAAAAAACAAATGGGAAAAAGTCAGCAACAAATACAACCAAGGGTTAAGATCACCACTATACAAACAGTACAATCAAATACACCAGGAAGAAAACAGAGCAGTTAGTTTACAAATAAAAAATAATTGCTCAGGTTCACTAGCAATTAAAACAATCTACCTTATCAAATGATAAAAATTAGTAATATTCAAGGATGACAAATCTAAGCTGTGTACTCTGATTTGCTGGGCAAAGTGTTGGCTGGTGGATTTCTGCAAAGCAACTTGTTAATATGCATCAGTAACCTTCCATTTTCATAGTCTTTGACCCAGTGGTTCCCTTCTGAAAACCTAAGGAAATATTCGCACATGTGGACAAAGATTTCTGCCTAGTTTAATCAAGGGTATTACTTATAGGAGCTCCTGGCTGGCTCAGCTGGCAGAGCATGCAACTCTTGATCACGGGGTTGTGAGTTCGAGCCCCACGTTGGGTGTAGAGATTACTTAAATGAACTTAAAAAAAAAAAACCTTAAAAAAAATTACTTATGATATCCCAATACCAAAGACAACTTAAATGTCCAATATTAGGGAAATGGTCAGGAAAGTGTCATAAATCCACAAGAAAAAATATTATAGAAACATAAAAATTATATTCATGAAGTATCTGTAATAACGTGGAAAGTATTTAATTCTAGCTTTAAAAAGCAATATATGAAGTTTTATATCAAGTATAATTATTTGAAATAAAAATGCATAGAAAAGCCTGGAAGAAAATGTGTCAAGACATTCACAGTGGTTGCCTGTGGGTGGGAGTAATATAGCTGGTTTGTCTTTTGATACTTTTCTGCGTGTTCTAAATTTCCTATAGTGACCAGGTATTATTAATAAACTTTGGTCATCACAAGAATACAGCCAACAAAATAGCATTCTAAGGGATAATCAAGCACATATTGCTCAACCACATATAAACACATACACATAAATACATATAATTTATTTATATTTCCACCACTAATTTATTGCTATGTGACTTAGGCCTTTATATGCACATTTAATTTAGTAATTCAAAAAAATAATTGAGGCTTTATGGCTCTGGCCTATTAGCATTTTATTTGTCTTAAGAGATCACTACTGAAGAATACCTAGAAACTATTTTACTTCAGGGCTTAGTTGGTTACCAAAGATGTATCGGTTGCTTTCTAGAACATCTAGAGCACGTACTGCCCCACGGTGTGAAGGACAAGAGCCTGGCACAGGTGTCGATCCTCAGCAGACCAGACCATCTCAGCTCACTAACGACCAAGGAAAATGTCAGAGAAGGTAGGACCGCATGGTGCCAGGAACACCTGTCAGAACTGGACGCTGGGTTATGAAGGAACAAAGACTGGCAAAGTCCACTGAAACACGGACTGGAAAGGAAACAAAAACGATGCAAGATAAAAATAGTAAGTACAAAACTGAAAAAGGCAAAAAAAAAAAAAAAAAGCGTAACGCTGAATGACGAGGCTATTTGATCACTGATTTAAAATAAAGGGAGCCAGGATCCCTGGGTGGCTCAGTTGTTAAGCGTCTACCTTCAGCCCAGGTCATGATCCCAGGGTCCTGGGATCGAGCCCCGCATCAGGCTCCCTGCTCAGCGGGAAGCCTGCTTCTCCCTCTCCCACTCCCCCTGCTTGTGTTCCTGCTCTCACTGTCTCTCTCTCTGTCATATAAATAAGTAAAATCTTAAATAAATAAATAAAATAATAAAATAAAAATAAAATAAAATAAAATAAAGGGAGCCTAAGAAAACCCAGTGTAAGGTAGGAAGGAGAAGAGCAGCGGAATAAGGAGATGCAGCCAATGAATCCAACTGGCTACTATGGCTACTAGTTTTTAATTTCTGCAGCCCTGCCAACAGAGTAACATTCGAGAAAATGCCAGCACTTATTAAAAACAATATGTGAGGAACTATCTGTTTTCTTAATATTTAACCAACAGGTTTTGCTATGTTTTTGTGTTTTGGAAAATAAAAAAGGCTAAGGCATATACACAAAAACACACCACACACATTTTATCCTATTTTAAGTATCAATGTGTTTGAAACAGAACTTGAGAGTTGATTTAGGTGTTACAAATAAACTTGGGACCATAATACTGATGAGCACGAATATCCAACATTCTACAGAAAACAGGAGGAGGCTCTGCCCAAAAGCTAGTTCTCTCTTCTGCAAAGACACACAGCTCAACAACTTCAGGAGGCATTTAAAAGATGAACTTTCAAAGGAAAGTCTGCAGATCTGGTCTGCACTTTTCAACATCTGACCACTACAGTGACACGCATTCCATGTGACACCTAAACACCCACATTTGGGGCCAAAGTTTGAGAGTCTCAGTGTTGGCTCAGAGCTCCTCCAACGTGGTTCCACCTTGACAATTTGAGGTATGTTGACATTCCACCTGTACTATTACTTAACATTTTCTTTAAATCAACTCACTTTTTTAAAAACAGAAATACCTACCTGAAGCTTGTCCTAAGCAACAGAGAAATCACCAGTTTCATGTGCTACTTATGTTCTGAACACATATTAAAATAATTGCTTAATGCTTAAATGCTGAAATAAAAGTGTGTCTCTATGTCATCTACAAAGATGGGATGTGCCATTAAGCAGTAAGGTGTACCACCCTTTAGGAAATCCAACCCAATTCCAATTTCTGCAACAAAGTAAACCTTGAAATTGTTCATATAGTTTAAATCCCAAGCTTTTATTACCAGGGAAACTATAGAAAGTTCAAATCTGAAAATGTCTGATCACTAAAACTCTCGAGTGCTTGGTTTACTGCACAGACATCATATGCTACAAAAACGACACATAAGAAAAATAATCTCCTGTGAATGAGCAATAAGCCTGCTTTGTTTCGTTTCACAGGATCTCCTTAAAAGAAGCTAGTGTATAAATCTGTAATCATGGATACTTTATCACATTTTCCTTTCATACAGTTTGCATGCTTACGTAGCCCTTCTGCAATCTCACTTTCAAATACGTGGGTTTGGTCTCCCACAGACCTACTTAGTACCCCACTTTTGCTTTCATAACCCTTTCCCTTTTTTGTTCCTCTTGCTTCACACAGCAGGTGCTCAATAAATGCTTGTGCAACTGAACAGAACCAATGCAATCCAAATCTTATGGCCACAACAAATGGTGTATTTGTATCATGCAAAAAGAGACCTTTATTTTAAGGTTTGTATATCTGCTTAAAGGGGAAGATTTTGCCAAGCATTTCTATACACTCGGGGCAATGGACAATGATTAGAAAGTGCACATCATGGTGGTTTTTCTTACAGCTGCTTCAAGAACCTCAAACACATACAGCTTGGGATCAGCTGAAAGAGTATGACCTATAGATTTTCAATTTTATAAATTAGCCTTTAATAAATTGTACAAAGTATTTACTTAATAAAAAAGTTTATATTTTTCAAAGACATAGTATTTCATGGTTAGCCCCATCCTCAAAGACTCACATGAGAATATAACATTTAAAATAGAAAAAGAGGAAAAAGTCAAATGACAGGAAGAAAAGAAAAGTCGGTTGACAGCATTTGATTTACTTCTGGACTCTCTTTCTGGTTTTTGAACCTTGAAGAGAAAAAAACAAATTCAAATCATTAACTTACAAAAACTAAAGAACAGATATACAAACATTTCCACATATACTTATTCGTATTTAAAAATCTGACTATGATGATTTGTGTGGAGATTAAATTCCTACACAAAGGTAATGGCTAATAGCCTAAAAATCTCAGGAAATTGTGTCCATTTTTTGATATGTCCAAAAATATGCTAACATCTACCTTTCAGTCTTAAGTCACAACAGAACTCTCCCACTGGTAAAACACATTCAATTTACAAAGGCACTGAAATCTTTCTCCCCAAAACTTATATTGTGCAATTTAAAACAATAACTCCTAATGTAAGCTATAGCAACAAGACAGGCATTCATTTCTTGGAGGGAAGCAATGAAGTAATGCATATTCTGAAAAGCAAGGAATAAAATGTGTTGCTTTTTAAAGCCTGTTACCTATACTCTCTAGGCAGGAGCACACTGGCCATTCCAAAACACAAAGTCTTTTCCACTAGGAATTAAAGAGATCCCAACTGAGTAGCCTTCTAAAGATGCATCACAGCTGATACTGGTCAAAGTACCTTATGACAGTTCCTATCCAACTACTCCTGAGTTGGAATAAATCAGTCATTCTTTACTGGGGGCAGAATTCTTTACGGGAATTCCACCTCACCAAGGAGACTCGGTTCCCACCTAGCACCCCCACTCTACCTCAGACCGAGCACAGCAGTCAGAAGGGTACGTACGTAAGCCTGATCACGGCTGCCTAGCACAGGCAAACGAAGTGTGCCTTCCCTCTGCCTCATGCCTCCCTTGGCCAGGAAAAGAGCAACGGTACCAGGCTGAGGGGCAGCATGGTCACCCATAATTAATCAATGAATGCACTAAGCAACAGATCAATACTTCTTTTCTGAAATGTACAAAACATTCTTTGAATCTAGAACAAAATATTTACCACGTCTACTAATAAATCCTAAAGGTTTTCTGTTTATAGGCTTAGTTACTTGTGTGGAAGATCAGTTTAAAAATTAGTGTTGTTTTTTTTTATTTTTCTAAGTTCCAGTTTTTATTTCATTGCCATATATTTCAATTAAAGAAAACTTCAAATTTACATGTATATCTTTTTTTTCCTGCCATTGATAATGCATAGCCTTCACTACGGCTGGTTTAAACTTTTGAGCTTTTCCCTCAATTTTTGTGATAGATAAAAAATATCCCATGGTAGATTTTTAGTTTTTTATTTCAAGAAGTTTGAAATTAATTTTGCATAGAAAAGTAGGAATGCTGTGATGGGCTGAGGTGGGGCGTTAACAGGGTATTACAAAATCCAGGTCAATAATCAGTACTATAGTACATCTTCCTTTCAATAAATTTGGAATAGTCACATTACAAAGGACACTTTAACAGTTATCACTCTGTTCAAGTAGTATTATTATCACTAACATCCTAATTTGTCATTTTACTTTTTTTTTTTTTTACTCTTAAACACCACTGCTGCTTATCTCCTTCAATCTAGATTTAAAATTTTTCACTGCAACTAAAAACACTACCTGGGGGGCACCTGGGTGGCTCAGTTGGTTAAGCGTCTGCCTTCAGCTCGGGTCATGATCCCAGGGTCCTGGGATCGGGCCCCGCATCGGGCTCCCTGCTCACCAGGAAGCCTGCTTCTCCCCTCTGCCTGCCGCTCCCCCTGCTTGTGCTCGCTCTCTCTCTCTCTCTCGCTCTCTCTGTGTGTCAAATAAATAAATAAAATCTTTAAAAAAAATAAAAAATAAAAAATAAAAATAAAAAAAAACACTACCTGGAATTTATTATATAATCAGGATCCTGCAACGTGAAGTCTTTGCTGCAGGTATCAATTCACTATTTTCCCTAATAATCAATTCTAATTGTGGCAGAAAAAATATTTTTCCTCTTCTCGTCTCTTTAAAAAAAAATATACCCATTTTCATAATTTATTACTATTGGTAAAAGGTGCAATCTCAAGACTAACATGTAAAATTTAGTATCTGAAAAAGGAAAAATACAAGTCTGGGTACTCTTCCATGATTTTATTAATGCAGAAATTCAAAATAAGTGGGAAGTTTCTTTGTAGTGTGCCCTTAAAAATATCCCTTTTTTGACTAGATCATAGATATTCGAGAGGTAACCGTCAATCCTGCTTCCCTCAGATTTCTCAAGAATGGACCAAATTCAAGGTTACTTCAGATATAACACTAACAAGAGAAGGTTGTGGAGTACTGTCCATTTTATGAACGGGAGGGATAAAGCAGCTAGCCATAAATATCATGGCTACATTAACTAATTTTCAGTACAATTCCGAAGTACTGGGACGGTTTTGAAATGCCAGAATATGCATGATTTTTTAAGGCTTATCATTTTGTGGGGGAAAAAATTACTTGCAGCAAATAACCAAATTTTCTCAATTGGTAAAAATTATGCCTTGCATAAAAATAAAAGGATTAGAGGCCTCTGTTCTTCTTGAAAACCACCCCGTCACCCCCTCTCTTTCTTTGAGAAAACCTACACAATACACATTTTGAAAGCTTTCAGAATGTGTTCTTACACAATAGACCCCCAACTACTCAAAATGAGTTTAGGTGTATCAAGAAAATTATACACGTTTTTAAAATGGTCTAAATAGATATTAAAGGAAAGTTGCTCCCATTTTGCCAGGCACAGCATTCTGAAAGATCACACAGTGAGAAAAATCTCTTACCATATTGTAAACCATAAATTGTGTTTGAAAATAAAATTGTTAATGAAGAAACTGACATTTCTAAAGCTGCTGTTAGAGGTAACCATTCTTGAAACACGTTTATGACACAAAATCTTAAAGCTCTAGAACACAGAAGTCACTGCATTGTATTATATATTTTTTTAAAACAAAATTCAAACATAATAATGTGCCTCCGCCTTCAAGTTATTTTAAAATGATGAATACAAATACATATTTTCATGAACACTGGCCTTTTTTTTTTGCCAGAAGCAATAACATTTTACCATCTCAGGTAATATTTCTCTCCTTTATGAATATTTAGACAATAAAATACTTTAACTAGCCCTATACTTTAGGAGAAAGGATAAATTACAATAAGAAGAGAAACAGCATTTAAGTAAAGCAATTTGGAGTTTATATAAATAAGGGAGAATTTGATTATTCTCTATCTTCTTTTTGTTTAAATCGGAACAAAAAATCTGGATTGTTCTCCTCAAATATGCAATGGGGTCCACACTCTTCTTCTGTTATTAATAAATAAAACAAAAATACTAATATATTTTCTCCCAGTAAAAACCAGCAGTGTAAGGACCTTAAATTAAAATTTGGGGCATAAAAAACATTTTTTCATAATTATAGTCCAATTTAAAATTATTGATGTATCAAAACAAATAACTCTGATGCTCATTAAGCAAAGTTCAGGTAACAAATGACCTTCAGGCAGTCAGGAGAGGCATGAGTTTGCCCATGCACAGCTGTGAATTCACTCCGGTCTAAATGGGTATCAACCTTATTATCACAATGTGGGCTGGGCCCTTTGCTGAACTAAAACTCTCCATTTTAAAATTTTTTAAGGGATTTTTTTAAAGCAAGAATATTGCTCTATCTTTACAAATGCTCCTTAATTTTGCTCCCACTCACTGTCATAGCTGCTGCTGCTAGCCTCTGGCTGAGACAGGCTTCCATGCACTGCTCCTCGGGACTCCTCACTTCCTAATAACAAAATGAACAAGACAGGAGGCGGGGAGAACAGGAGGGATCGGAAAATGGCTGAAGACAGAAAGGAACTTCTTCAAAACCTTTAGCCTCCGGGGTGAAGTTCTAGCCTCCCTCTCTAAATACTCCCAGTATTCTCTGAGGTAAATTCATGTAAACCTAAGGATGTTCTATCCATACTATACAAGAAAGACAATGTTAACAGACTCGAGTGCAGAAGATTCTCTTTGAAAGTCAAATGTTTGTCTTCCACAAATGTGCACAGGCGACACTATCAAAGGAAAGGTAAAATACATCCCTGGCCTGACTCAACAGGGCACTTGGGCTTTAATGAAACTTTTACCAAAAATGAGCCTTTTCTATTAGAAAGTGAGAAATGCTTCAGAACCAATAAATGAATAAATAAATAAATAAATAAAAGGCAGCAAGATAGGACAGAAATCTGGAAAAAGAAAAACATGGTACTGCAACGAGCACTGAATCTCTTCATTGCGTCCAAGAAATCATCTCTTGTGAAACCTGGAACCTGTTTTCCCTGTTCTGAGCCTCCCAGAGGTGTGCCTACACATCCGCACTGGCCGTCTACGAAGTGGACCACACGGAAGCCCAACCCCATTGTGCCCTTTGCAGATGCAGCCCTGCTAATGTCAATGCTAGCTCAGCTCCATGCTGGAAGAGCCTTCAGCACCAGTTTATGAGCCATCTCAGAAATGACTTTATACTCTGCTTTTTGCTTCAAGAGCTTTGAAAAGCGATGATTGAGGCTTTAATTCCTTGCCTCCCAACTTGCTGAGAGACAAGAAGAGCTGGCAGACTTTGTGGGGGGCAGACGGACGGCTCAGGCCCGTGGAACTTGGCAGCCACAGTAAGCCCAGGTACTACTCGCCGGATCTGGGCCTTCCCTTGTACCCCGTGATGTGTAATCAGTGTGTGGAGATGGAAAGGCAGTAGCCTGAGAGGTAAGAGTTCTGGCTCTGCCATTTAAGTGCTCCATGTCTTGGGCTCCCTAGATGCAAAATGAGAGTAGCTCCCCACCCCAACTTCGTGATTCCTGTGAACAGTAAATAATACAATGTACGTACAAAGGACACTGTGATAATACTATACAAATAGAAGATCTTCTTGTATGATATTTTATCATAAAATCAAAATGTTATGACCATAAGTTAACCTCTTACTTAGCGGAAGGAAATGAAATCTGTGTTTATATATGGAAAAAGCTAATAGGCAAGACTGTTCAACTTACGGGTTTTTGTGGCCTCTTCTGTCTGTGTATCTGACCATTCCATATCTTCAACACTGGATTCGGTGCTCTCCTCAATTCCTTTCTTGCGCTTGTTACACACAAAGATTTTTGAAAAGAGAGACAGAGATGTGGTCCGATGGTCAAATAAGTAAATACACAAACTTACCATATACTAGTATATATGTGAATCTATCCAGGTTGTGGGTGAATCAAAACATACAATAAGAATATACACAACTACAGGGTGGTAGTTACCTAAGGCGAAGGGGCTATGGATGGAAGAAAATGGGATTAAGAGAAACTTCAACTATACAGTTAGTCTGAATGTCAGCTTGTTTGTTGTAACCACCTCAAGCTTTTATGCTTTTTATAGTTCATCATTGAAAGCCTAACCATCAGGATTGATGATACAGAAACTCTCTTTTAAAAGCAAAGCATTTAACAAATTTGGTTTCACCACTCAGGCCAATGATACTTATTCTCCACATTTTACAATGTGTGCGGGATATGTGGGGGAGGGACAGTCATCTACTTGATAAATGGGAAAATATACACCTTGTGCATACAGGATATCACTGGTTATACTCTATCAATCAATGGCAAAATTCTGCTCATGAATCAGTAATGACAAACTTCCAATAAATGTCTTCTTTTGGTATACTTTTCATTAAAAGTTTAAGGGGGACACCTTCCTGTAAAGGAAGAGTCTTAAAAGTACACAGCTCTCCTAAAATCTCGAAAATAGGGTGGATTCTCCTCAACTTTCTATTTATTTTTTTCCAACTTCCTATTTATTTTTTCTAGTTGGGGTTACTTAGTAGTTAATGCTTAAATTCTGTCACCAGCCGGTCTTCCCAAGTGTTCGTTCAGTTTCTTTTCATTATTTTCTATCACTATGACATTTTCTAACTAGTTCAGTCCGACGTGAAGTTTTTAAATTACTCCACACGTCTACATGTAGGAATGACTATGGAAGGACTTAGTAATAACTTTACAACTTTGTATTTCTCCTATAACTTTATCCCATGTAGTCTCAAATTTAAATGCGTTAAAGTCCAAATGATAACTCAAAGCTTCCCTGGGTGGCCCAGATTTCGTTTAGGAAATCCTCTCATCTGTCCCAAATTTCAGATTCACAATGCATCAGAACGTCCTCACTTATATTTTCTAACAATTAATATTAAGTTAAACTTCATCTGAGCATTTCCCTTGCTTCGGGCCATTGTCCACACTGCCTGCTGACAGCACACCGCTCTCTTCCCTTCTTCCCTGACGGCAGCCATGGGTTCCGTTCCACAGGGAGCTGCATGGGAAAGCTCCACTCTACTCAAACCACATTACCTTAAAACCCCCAAATGGTCAGAACTGTTATCTACGTATTACAAATAATCCCACTGTTTCAAAATATTCTTAAGGTGGCCATGGAAAGATCAGAATTCCAAGACCCCCGCCATGTTCCTGAAGAAAACGCTTCACACAGACAAAAATAACTTGACTAAACCTTCAGAAACTTTCAAAGGCATTCATTTAGCAGATTTGTATATGGAGGTATTGCCTCTCAAAAATAGCTGTTAAGAGTGGCTGTAACTTCATATAACTGATGAGAGAAGGGGAGAAGAGTGCCTTACATCTTTCTTTTCCAAAGTGTTGCTTCATGATTACCATCTAAACCCTGCTGGGCTGAACAGATTGGTTCGATAATTACATACAATAACTGCAGTGGGCAGGTAACCCTCAGCTGGCACAGGGCAGCTCCCCTGTGAGAACTTCCATATGCAAACTGCACTGATGGAGTGCATTAGGTGCATCTTTCCTGCCGGTGCACAGGCCTGATTAACGCCAGCCAAGACTCCAAGGTTAGCATGTCAGCAGATTTGTGATGCATTAGGCAGGAATAAACACAGACACTTTTGTTCGTTCGGACCAAAATTAAGGAGGAATATTTCACTACTATATTGCTTTCCATACAGGAAAGAATGCATTTTCCGATTTTAAGGAGGCAGATTTTTAAATGCTCATTATAAAGGGAGCTATCCAATACATTCTACCCAAGAACCTAGTGCATTCATCTTGTTCTCAAGCTTATTTAATAAAAAAGAGGTTTCTTAATCTCCATGCAAGTAAATTACATAGGAATGAAAATCAGCCAGTATTCAGCCAACAAAAAAAAAACACCTGTATTTTAAGCATCATGCAAGAGGTATAGCACTGCATTTCATTAGTCCACACTTCAGCTGGGTATCTCCTGCCCAACTTTTCTGAGAATGTATTTAGTTTTGTCAGAAGGGGCCAATGGCCTACAGGAAAAGACCAATCAAAAAAAAAAAAAAGCTTTCATATTTAATAGCATCTAAGTGTGTTATTAATTCTATAAGGCAATGAGTAAAATTCCAAACAATTCACTGGCAGCTTCTTTCTCCTGACATCCCCTAATGCTTCATTTTGTTATTTGTCAACATCTTGGGCTTCAGATAGTGCATATTTTGGTGCTCTCTGAACAGAAGAAAACGGCTTCACAAAGGGACTACGCTAATCTCTGATTCTGTCATATTCCATACCAGGTCCCACAAAGTGCCTCTACATCTATAAATGAAATCAAAATATTGTACGACACACCAGAATGACTTATAAACTTAGAATAGAGTTTTCTTTTAATTCAGCACAGCTAAAATATCTGCAGAAAATTAGGTTTATTTCAAAGGGCATTAGCGAATGTATTACACATTGTATTTCTGAAGTGTTCAGATATGCTAGGCTAAAATTTAGTTAATTAGCAGCTTCTCACTTCCAGCTTAGAAACAGGAAGACAAATCAGCTAGATGCATTTGGACTGATAATTTACTAATAGTCTAAACACTGACTAGAGACCACTTAGAGACTTAAAGCTGTTTTAACAGGACAAAGAATAAACATCCTGTGAGGCAAAAACCGAAGACCCGTTCATTCTTTGCTTACCAGGTCACACATCAAAAGATCACCTCTAGATGCTTTCAAAAGCCTCTAAGAAAAGCCAGTCAGATCCATGGCTATATCAAAGGTGAGGAGTATTCAGGACTGTTGTTGGTTTTTAACTCTTTATTATAAAAATCACAAATGTTTATTACAGAAACTTAGAATATACAGCCTAAAATTTCTAAATGTTTGGTACTGTACACGTGTCGATGAACAAAGAAATCTAAATACAATTATTTAGAGACTGACTGCACCAATCAGTTCATCTTATTTATTTACTTAAGACCACCTGAAGTCACCGTGCAAATGGTACAGACTTTATAAACTAATAGCATGATTCATCTATGCTCCTACATTCATTAATAGCAACCAAAAAAAAACAGGTTGTTACTCGACAGTAACTAAAAAAACACAGAACACATATCTCCTATGAAAGCAAAGCAGACACGTGTGTTACACGATACTTACAAACCAGCGGAGTTAGTTAAAATTCACGATATAGACAGAAAACGCTGAGGCTGGAGACAGAAGAAGGCTAAGAGAACTGGCTCAGTGTTTCTCAGCTGGGGGTGGGAAAGACTAGAACTCAGAGCTCTCCATTCCTGCTCCAATTTCTGTCTCAGAGCTGTGCCGCCTCCCTTATAGTCCCCGGCGCTGTGCTCCCACGTTAGCGCATCCCTTCCTAGAGAGAGTCCACCGAGCTGTGCGCCTGGCTGAGCCTCGTCCACACTCCTGTGTCTCCCTCCTGTATACGCGGAGCTCTCATGGAGCCTAGCCTGATTATTTTACACAGAAATATCTATGGGTCTGTACCTCTCGAGCAACGATTCAACTAGTGTTGTAATAATAAAGAGCTGGCTTCCTATTTTACTCCAAGCCCCTTACAAACTGTGTAATGTTTAAGTGGACCTAAGTAATTACAGATATATTTTGAGAAAAAGCAGGAAAAGGTCAGACATAATCGGAAAAAGAAGAGATGAAAAGATGGGAAGTGGGTCAGGAAGTGAGTGACTTAAAAAGAGGGGCAGATTAATTTAAAGAATAATCTAAAAATATTCTGCTAGAATGCATTAAAGTGATTTATTATTTTAAATGAGTTCCAGTGATAAAGGCTGTAACAAGAATCATGAATATTACAATTTCCTTCTGCAATAACACGGGCCTTCACGTTACCAGGGGCAGAGCACCCACCACATATTAACTAAGCACCCACTGTGTGCCTGGCACTGCTACAGGCTGCATCCTCAAGCTGAAAAATACATGCTAAAAAACAGATTAAAGCAAAAGAGTAATCTTAGTTTTTATCAAAACATTAAACACATACACATTAAGTCTCTAAAACTATAAGTCCTAGAAGAAATCACTTCAGAGTTCTGTAAATCGTCTTCAGTAAGTGTCCAGTGTAACCCCATATGCACGAATGCCATTTGGTGAAGTATCGATGCACTGTAAATGGAACCCATGCAGGACTTCATTGTATTTGTGGTTGCTGTTGTTACTTGCTTACGTTCAGATGTCCTGTGAACACATTTAGCTATCTACTCTGCTATCTACTCTGGAGGGAGGAAGAGCAAGTACAACTAGTGAATTCTGCTAATTATTAACAGGTCTGGGGGAAAGGGCTTAGCAAAATAAAATGTTACAACTCAAGACTAACAAAGTTAGGAATACTGTGTTCTTCACTAGTTCAAGTTCTCCACTCTTAAGATGCCATGAGGAATGAAGAATTTACTGTCATTAACCGAAAATGAATTAATGCTACCACGTGTACAAAAACTGAAATGTCAGGTGACTGTAATGTGGGAGACCGTCTATGAGGAGCTGAGAGGGTGACAGCACAACACGCACGGTCTACTCTCATGGGGGAAGGACATAGATTCCAGTGACCCCGAAATGTTCACACCCACAAACAAGCTAAACTGTGTGTAAAATAGGGGACATTTGGGGGGTAGTTTTCAACCTCTGCTCCACTAAACTCTGAAGAAATGAACACAAAATAGCAATTAAGAAATATTTCAGCAGCAACAGTGACAGAGCCTCTCACCATAACCATTGGGAGGTTGTGGCCAAGAAGAGTCAGACACTTCTAGAAAGCAACATGTGGCTCCTGAAGAACCATACTGGGGAAAAGAACCTAAGTGAACACCATTCAGAAATTTTTCACCACTGACCTTCCATTTGCAAAATATAAACAGGAAGCTTGAAAAGAAAGAGTGGAACAGCCCCTGGAAGAGACCTTCCCTACTCCCACAGTCCCTCATTGAAAGCAGGACATGTGATTGTTTCTTCCCTGGAGAAAGAGGGCAGAATAACCACAATCATTCAAGACTAATTATTTTCAACAATAAACAATGATTTACCAAAATAGACGACAAAACAGAGAATGATAAAACATAGTAAAGCCAGAGAGAAGAACCCCCAACGAGGTTTCTCTCCCGTGGATTTAGATTTTACCAAATTTGTGCCTCCTCTGGCCAGGAAAGGAACAGAGCAGGTACTGAGGAAAGACAGGTAATCTGACCCGCGTACCAGCTGAGCCATGGCCCTCCAGATCCTCCCACAGTATGAACTGCAGGCAAAAAAAGTCCCTTAACAATGCCAAACCCTCAAATCCGAACTCTGAGGAAAAGCAAAACAGTTTCATCAAATGGGAAAGCCAAGGATTCACAAATACAATAATCTGTTAAGCCCAGGTAAAGCTATTCTATTCACTATTAATACGATCCAGAGAAGAAGCATGCCAACAAAGTTAGAATCCTTGGGGACAAAAAGAGAAGATGATAACTGGTCATAGCACACAAAAGACAGCTGAAGATTCCACTCTGAAAGAAAACACAGTCCTCCCAAAAGAAGAAAATTTCATAACATGCACTGGAGGCTTAAAAGAAAAAAATTTTTTTAAACTGAGTAAATGAGAAATGATAATTTAAAAAAGAAAATGAGAAAATGAAGAGATAACAAGGAAACTGCATAGCCAATAAATAGAACAATAATCACTACAGAACTTATATTAGAAACATCAAAAAACAGCAGACAGAGCTGACAACCAAATGACATGAAGGAAAGTTCTATGGTAATTACAGATGGTACAAAAGAAACAGATGAAGAATTAAGCACTTAGAAGAAAACAGACATGGAAGATGGGTATGATCTCTACACAGCCAGAAACGACTGCAAACATGACTGAGATAAACGAAAAACCACCTAAATACAAGGGTGTACCATATTCATGCACAGAAAAGAATACTGTGAAGATGTCAATTCTTCCCAAAATGAGAGTCAATGCAACTCAATCAAAATCCCAGAAGTATTTGTGTAGAAATTAATAGGCTGATTCTGATATTTATATGTAAAGCTGAAGGGCCAAGAACAGCTAAGACAAAAAGAACAACAAAGTTGGAGGACTTCCACCATCAGATATCATTACGAAGCCAGGAGTTCACACAGTGTGGCTTGGCAAAAAAGGTAAGTGGGCCAACGGCACAGAACAGAGTTTCTAGAAGCAGACCCAAACATATATGGTTACCTGAAAGTCTGCTACATGCTGTGGGGACATTATAGACTTTTCAATAAATGGTTCAAATCAACTAGTTATCCACAGGAAGTAAATAAACACAGACTTACACTATGCACAAAATCAGTTGCTGTTAAATCGTAGACCTAAATACAAAAGATAATATTTCTTGATAATAACAGCATTATCTTCATGATCTGGGTAGACAAAATCCTCCCAAAATAGAATACAAAAAGCACTAACCATAAACAAGAAGACTGGTAAATTAGGCTTCATTAAAATGAAAAACTTTCTGTTCATCAAGAGATATTACCACATTAATAGAATGAAAAGATAAACTACCAATTGTAAAAAGAAAGAAAGAAAGAAAAAGAAAGAAAGAAAGAAAGAAAGAAAGAAAGAAAGAAAGAAAGAAAGAAAGAAAGAAAGAAAGAAAGAAATGTGTGTAATACAGAAATTGCTTATATACAAAGTAGTCAAGTCTGGCAAATCAAAAGAAAGCTGACAACCTCCCCCTTCTTAATGAACAAAAGATCTGAAATGCACCACACTGAAAAAGGGCAATGGAGACTGATAGGCATATGAAAAGGTGTTCAAAATCAATATTCTAAAGGAGATTAAATTAAAACAAAGAAACACCAGTACACACCTACCAAAATGGATAAAATTAAATATAATGCAAAAGCTAGTGTCGATAAGCAACTGGACCTCTCATAAGCTGCTGGTGAGAGCAACAACTGGGACAGCTGCTGGGAGAAACTGCTTGGCAGCACCTACCAAAGCTAAACGTAAGTAAGCCCTCTACCCCAGGACTTCTGCTACGTATATACCCCACTTGAAATAAATATATGCAGTTCCCAAAAGAAATTACAAGAATGTTCTTAACCAGCATTACTACAACTGCCAAAAACCAGAAACAGCACAAACGTTTGTCCATCAATAGAAGAGATAAAGGAATTATGATGTCCTCATGTAATGGCGTGCCACGCTATACAGTAACAAGAAATAGAAAACTTTTGTTGCATGCAACAGCATGGAAATTCAGGCATATAATGAATAAAAGACAGACACAAAAAAGTACACATTGTATGGTGCTATTACTATGAATTTTCTTTAAATGGCAAAATTAATTTATGGTGTTGTAAGTCAAAACACTGGTTATTCTTAATGAAGGATAATGGCTGAGAGGGGGGCTGAGAGAAGTTTCTGGGGCTCAACTGATGACACATACCCTGATCTGGGAGACGTTTAAATGTGTATGCTCAATTTGTAAAGTTCAAATTCCAAATTTACTTGTGCATTTTTCTGTACATATGTCATAACCTTACTTAAAAATATAGAGAAAATGGACGCCTGGGTGGCTCAGTCGGTTAAGTGTCTGCCTCTGGCTCAGGTCATGATCCCGGCGGCCTGGGATCGAGTCCCGCATCAGGCTCCTTGCTCTGTGGGGAGCCTGCTTCCCCCTCTCCCTCTGCTGCTCCCCCTGCTTGTGCTCTCTCTCTGACAAATAAACAAATAAAATCTTTAAAATATATATATATACACACACACACACACACACACACAGGGAAAAAAAGCTACCTGACAAAATCCAACCAAGTAAGACAAGATTTAAAATACAGAGCTCAAGCACCTAGGGAAAGAATCATTAGTAAACAATGAATCCACTTACATAGAAAACTAAGGCTAAATCCCCATCAGAAAACAGAAAGAAGTGTCTTGACTTCAACCATCTAAATTTATCTAAGGAACATACAGTTTCTATTATTCTATTCTATTATTTCTATTATTCTAGCGTGCTAACCAAGTTAGACTTTCACCAAATTCAGAGGGTTTATTTGGGGCTATCTAACTGAAACTATAGGCTGCATGGGATGCAGTCACCTCAAGGGACAGGAAGCTGTCCACCACAGCAGCTGCAGGCCACTGGTCGGCAATGGAAGGCCTGTACCCTTATTCGTCTCCTTGTACCATGTTCCAGGCTGAGTGCCAGCAGGGATTTGTTTAATGGTTAATCATTTTTCAGAGAAACTCTAGGAAGGCCAACTAGCATAATATAACTTAAAAGAACTAAAAAATATGGGAGTGGAGAGAAGGGTATGTGGGAGTCATTCATAGGAAACAACAGTATATACTGTCTGAAAATGAAAAAATGCAAATCACAGGGCCACACTCCAGATCTACTCAATGAATCTCCAGGGATGAGACTCGAGAAATTCTAATGAACAGCCTTTTTGTTGGCTTGGGCAAGCAACTTAATCAAAACCTTACAAGAAAATAGCTAATGGAGGTATTAATGTCCTTTTAACTTGCTGAGTTCTTTCCAGTAAATTAAGCTGTTCTTAACCCAGATGGGACAGGAAGGAATTCTTTAAGGATGGAACTACATGCTATTGATCTTTATAGCCCCAGGGACCTTGCCTAGACCAGGTACATAAATTAGACCTTTATATTGTTGAATGTTGGTTTAAGAGTACACACTGAATCCAATAACTGCTGGAACTGGACGCCCAATTCTAACACAAGTGTTCAGTTCTAATTAACAATGAAAATCTTTGGCTGTGTACTTCCTAAGGGTAGACTGATGGCTTCGTTTTTTTCTACTTCAGCCTTATGTTATCCCAAAATCCTGTGCTTTAAATAAAACTCTTGGGCTACTGAGGCTGAAAACATTTTCAAGTGGGTAAATTCATATTTCACTCTAGTTTCCAAATTTACTGTACCATAATCAAGCATGGCTATTTAAAACTGGATAGAAACCTTGTTTCATTCCACTGCTAATCAATTCTCATAGATTTTTACCATAATGGACAACTCTCAGGAACATAAAGAGAAATATATATTGAATTAATTAAAACTATCCCTTTCCAAAAGAGATTTGAATGTCATAAATACAAAGAATGTATCTTAAAAAGTTTTAAGAAATCATGAAAAGGGAAAGGAGAAAATATGCTAATTATAAGGATTAATAGAATTTCTATGATTAAGCACCATAATCAACTCTGAGCTTCCTAGTAACCAGAGCAAAAAATGACATCTTGATTACATACCCCTTGCTAAAAAAGAGATGGCATACTAACTTATCAAAGTAAAAGCTTTTCCTTGGAGAGAGCCCCTAACTTTTCAGTTGGTAGAGCTCTGCTTTTATCTGCTTTAAATATGGGGTATTTACAATTTATTTGAAGAAAATGTCCTGGGGCTTTAAAAAAGGGAAGGAAGGAAGGAAAGGAAGGAAAGGAAGGAAAGAAGGAAATCTTAAAAGAGAAAACTGGCCTGGTCCAACTCTTTCACATTAAAATACAAGACAAATGGCCACCAAATTAACAACTCACCTCCAGTTACATGGCCATCTAGCAGCTTCATGATCTTACCTAATCTTAACTTTTAACAGCTTCTTTTTAATACAAAGAATAGCCCTGTGTCAGCTATGAGGGAGGGGGAGAAAAAGGCAGTAAACTAATAAAGGAAATCTAATAGTTCACTGGTTATTCATTATTTTCCCCCTCTAAATAAAGCTTTATACATGTGGGGGATGATCCAGCAGGAAATTTCCAGCCTTCTGAACTGGAGACACAGGAGGACACAGGAGAATTGTAAGGTCACAGAAGTTAGCTCTGCAGCAGACTGACCTATTCAGCTATAAAGTCAGCCAAGCTGCAGAAACCAAATTTTCTCCAGCATGTAAGTCCAAATAACAGTGATCTGCAAAGTAAGGGGGTATGGCACTGGGCAAGTTCTCACTGCAACAGAGATCTTTACTTCTCAATCAGCAAAATTTTAGAGGAAAACACCACAGAAGCTATCTATAAATATTAATGCACAGAAATCTGTCCTGAGCAGGAAGATGCATTCTGTATGTTTATACATACATGCAAACTCTAAGTTCACTACCTTACTGAAAAATTCCACTCGGGCTTCCATTTTATCCTCCTAATTTCAAAGCTGGATATGACTCTCAGCACACTTGTTGACCACAAAAATGGAGCAATGCAATTAAGAAAAACTTACAAAAGAAAAAAAAATGTATACGTAGATGCGTGTGTGTAATTTCAGATTTTGGAGTGAAACTACAGAGACCTACTATTTGCCAAGAAAGTCAAATTCAAGATACAATTTCAAAATTCCCATCTCCTTTGTAAGTTAAAAAGAACTACAAAAACCTTTTAATAATGCTGCTTCTTATTTTAAAGAGAGAAAATTTGCTTTTAAACCCTTTTTCTCATAGTTCAGAATACAGTATTTCCAAAGGAATCTACTGGAATTTACAGAGTCAGCGACAGTAAAAATAGTCAATAGTGTAAAAAATATATATATATATATATATTGTTCTGGGGTGCCTGGGTGGCTCAGTTGGTCTGCCTTCAACTCAGGTCATGATCCCAGGGTCCAGAACTGAGCCCCATATAGCAGGGAGCCTGCTTCTCCCTCTCCCTCTGCAGCTCCCCCTGCTTGTGCTCTCTCTCTCTCACACTATCTCTCTCAAATAAATAAAATCTTTAAAAAATACATATTTTTTTCTTCTAAAAGTAGTTATTTTCCATTTAAAAGCAGCTAGCACATTTTATTCAATAATTTCAGACTATAAAGGAAATCTCTGAGTTAATCAACAATTTAACTATTAAAAATAATCAATAAGTTAATGCATACCTGTAAAATCTAAATTTTAAAGTGATACCAGGAGTTATTTACATGCCTGCACAATACTTTGCCTGTAAAGTTCACTGTTAACCTCTCTCTCCAATAAATTAACCTCTTTATATGCAGATACATAGCCTTACATAACGACATTTCTATAAAGAGCAAAATAATGTTCAAATGGTAAGCACTTCACACCAGCAAACAAGGAAACTTTTGAACATTAATTTTCAAATAGTAATTTTCAAACACCAATTTTCAAATGATAAACACTCTGACCACACCAACAAAGGAAGAAGAGCTAAGAGACAAGACCAACCCTTCTAGGTGGCCCGGGAGGAAAAAAACACCCACACTATGAATCAAGTGCCCCATCCAAATCCCCCTGCCAGATGTCAGGATCCCAAGTTAGAATCTTTCCAGGAATTTACAAACTTGCTACTGGACATAAGAAATAGATTATCTATTGGGCACCTGGGTGGCTCAGTTGTTAAGTATCTGCCTTCAGCTCAGGTCATAATCCCAGGGTCGAGCCCCACATCAGGCTCCCTGCTCTGCAAGGAGTCTGCTTCTCCCTCTCCCTCTGCCCCTCCCCACTGCTTGTTTTCTCTCTCACTCTATCTTTCAGGCACATACGCACACAAATAAATAAAATCTTTAAAAAAAAGAAATAGATATCTATTCAGTCTTCTACAACCCTCTACATGTTTCATGTCTCATAAAGAGTGTCCCTTTACCTAATGGTAACAGATATTTAAGTGCCAAGCAATCTGTTACACTTTTCTTTACTGATTTACTTCCCTAAAATTAGTGTTTGCTACAATTACCATCACAGGAAGCCAAAGGATAACTTAACAAAATTCACCTTCGTTATTGACTTTGTTCTCAAGCCTCCGTTCTCCACGAGGCTGAGGTCCAACTTGCCGTCATCCTTGCTTCCTATAGCTCTCAGTCCTTGCAAAAGAGTGTCTCGCAAGTTCTGATAAAGAGGTTTCTCGGCATAGTCCAGTGATTTCACTGTTTCCATGTATTTAGCAATCTCATCTAAAAGAGTAACACAATTATTCTGTAATTTTTTAATCACAAATACAACATATTTATCTCTTCTAAGAAAATAACTCACGGTTATAGCAACATTAGAATGCAAATGTGTATCCTGCTAGAATATGTTTTTTATATAAATCACTTTTTCAATGGAAAAGTATACTTTTGAAGTCAGGAATTGTCAGGTAAGTGAAATAAGAAACTTATTTTGAGATACAATGTAAAAGACATTTTTGTAATTGTAAGGGACAAAAGATAAGAAACATACTAGAATTTAAAAATGCACGAAATAACTGCTGTACTTTTAAGGCTACAAAAACAAAACAGGAAAGGACCTCGAATAGATTATAAAGTAAAAAGTACTAAAGTACAAGGACTATCCACAGCCCATATTTTTTTCCCCACAAAAGCCATTAGTTCTATAGAAAATAGCTGCATTCTTTGTATAAATGGAAAATAAAACATAGCAAAACCAGGTTGAAGAAGGGAGAAAGAAGCAAGACCTAGTTTTCCCATAAAAGAGAAAAATCAGCTTCTGAATGATGAAAGGCCCACTGTACACTGAGGCAGGACCACTCCCCTAAAAAGAAATCTTACCAGTCAAGATCAACACTCCTCAACACCAGAAATCCATCTTTAGGCTAACGACTCCTACGTTCCCCAGCCTTACCCTCCCACCAGCCTCCAGGAACTTGTGCGCCCACAGCCTCATACACTGGCTCCTGGATCTCTTACTGTCCTCTGGAATACCAAGAAATCCCAATCCAAACTCCTAACCTACCCCTAAACCTGCTCTCCTGTGGTCTCCCCTGCCCCGTTACTAAGAACTCCATTCTTCCAGCTCCTCAAACCAGAAATCTCTTCCCACACCCCACATGCAATAAACCAAGAGAACTTGTCAGTGCTACATACACACATATACACACCTCCATTCATTCCAACACTGACCAGCACTCACTACACGGCAGGCACAATTCTAGGTACTTGGGAAACATGAGGAAAAAAGAAATGAAAATCCCTCCCTTCAACTTTCTTAATCTGATAAAGAGGATCTATGGAAAACCTAAAGCAAACATCAACTAACATAGTTTCATATAGAAAACTTGCCTTCTAAGAGGGGAAAATGTCAAGCATGTCCATGTTTACCACTTCTGTTCAGTGTAATAGTTATATATGCTTTCAGTCAGTACAGTAAGGCAAGAAAAAAAACAGAAGGCATGAACAGTGGAAGGGCTTATTCACAAACACAGCAATGTATGCAGAAAATCCTAAGGAATCCATAAAAAACTAGGAGGACTAATAGATAAATTTACCAGGGTCATAGGATATAAGGTAAAATATTAAAAAATCGTTTTCTATGTACTATCAACAAGCAATTCGAAAATAAAATTTAACAAAAATAGATCATTGGGACACCTGAGTGGCTCAGTCAGTTAAGCCTCCGACTCTTGGTTCAGCTGGGGTCATGATCTTGGGGTCACGAGATCTAGCCCCACAGCGGGCTCCACACTCAGCAGGGAGTCTGCTTCCCCTGTCCCTCTGCCCCACCTTCCACTCACACACAAGCGCTCTCTAAAATAAATAAAATCAAAATCTTAAAATAAAATAATAGCTCATTTACAATGGCATCAAAAAACCATCAAATACCTAGCAACAAATACAATGAAGACAGGCGAGATTTTTTGCAGACAAAATTATAAAACACAGTGAAAGAAATGAAGTGGAGAATATACCATATTAGTGAATTGGAAGACTCAATAGTACAAGGATGTCAGTCGATCTAGAGTCAATACAATCCCACTCAAAATTCCAGCAAACTGGAAAGGGAGGGGATATGTGTGGAACTGACAAGGTGGCCCTAAAATGTACACAGATACTCAAAGGGTCAAGAATTGCAAAATAGCAAAGTCAAGTTTAAAGAACAACAGTGCTGTAGGACTTATACTACCAGATGCCAAAACTCAAGATAAAGCTAGAGTCATTATGACACTGCTGCCCAAGAACAGACAAAAAGAAAACTAATGATGTATTGTATGGTGACTAACATAATGAAATAAAATTTAAAAAACTAATAATAATAAAAAGAAAGGAGTCCAGAAACAGATCCACAGATCCACACTTAATTTATGTCAAAGGTAGCACCATACGGAAAGAGCGGTTTTTTTGTTTGTTTGTTTGTTTTCCCCCAAGAAAAGCTACTGGGTCAACTGTTTATAAATATTGGGGGGGGGGGAATCTGGCCCCTCCTCATATAAGGCACAATAATCAGTTACAGGTAGACTATACATCTATATGTATAACTGGCGATCTATGATTGCCAAAAATTGGAAATAGTCAACAGCAGAACAGATAAGTAACAGGATATAAATACAAGAGAATACTATTAGAAATGAGAATGAACACATCACTGTTAAACATGCAACAACGGGGTCCCATGAGGATCTAATGCACAGCATGGGGATTACAGTTAGTAATTTGGTTCTGCAGACTGGAAAGTGGCTGAGAGTAGATCTTGAGCATTCTCACCACACACACACATACACAAACACAAGTTAACTGTGAGGTAATAGAAGTGTTAGTTATCTTGATCTTGTTAATCATTCTACGATATAAATGTATGTTAAATCACCACATTGTACACTTGGAAATGTATACAATTATATTTGTCAATAAAGTTAAAAAATAAATAGAAACATTAAAAAAAAAACCCATGCAACAATGGGAATGAATTTCACAAATATAATACTGAGTAAAAGAAACAGGATTCTAACAAAGCTAGAAGTTAACGTTATGAGGGCAGGGATTTTTATCTATGTCGTTCACTCTCTGATTCCATTTTTATACAGCTCAAAAACAAATTTTGGGGGTTGGAAATTAGGCTAGTTATTTATTAGGCCGGAGGGAGAGGCTCGTGATTGGTAGGAGGCACAAGGGGGGACTCTGAGAAGCCTGTAACATTCCATTTCTTGTGTGGTTGGTAAGACTGCAATTTTAAATAGCATAAGGTCAGGGCGGACTTCCCTGAAAAGGAGACAAATGAGCAAAGCCTTGAAAAGACATCGAAATATATGCAAAGTGATCACTTCTCAATACTCCCACTGCTACTTCCCTTCCTTGCCTGGATTACTGTGGTGGCCTCCTAACCTGCTCCTGCTCATACCTGCCTTACTCCCTCAGCAGTCTATACTCAGGACAGGAGCCTCAGATTTCCCTTAAAGGTAGACATTGATGTCACTCTTCTACTCCAAACCTTACACTCCTGCTGAAAGGAAAAGTCAAAGCCCTTATGACGGATGGCCTAAAACGCACTCCGCAAGTACACCAGGTACTTTCTGCCTACAATACTGTTCCCCAGACTTCCGTAACAGCTTGCTCCCTATCTCCGACTGCTCAAACGTCACCTCTTCAGTAAGGCCATCCTGGCCACCGTATTTAAAATTCCAACTCCCTCCCACTCTATTCCCCATTTCATCCCCACACCCACTAATTCTATTCCCTGCTTTCTTTTTATCCCATAGTAATAATCACATAATATGCTCTAAAATTCACCCATGTGTTCATTGTCTATCTCTCCCAACTAGAGCATAAGCTTCATAAAGACAGGAATTTTGCTTTATTTTATTCACTGGTGTATCCCTAGTGCCTAGAATGGTCCCTGGCACACAATCAAGCCTCAATAAAAAAAAAATCATTGAATTAATGAATGAAATTTGGTTCCTCTCCTGAAAGCTGAGTAATAATTTAAGGAAGCTCAAGTACCCCTTTAGCCCGCCTTTGGAAACGGAACTGCTGTCGTGATGAGAACAGGCCCCACTACAATGATCACACTTGAAAACACCTAAGCTTTTACATTATGGGATATGCCGTAGACATCATGACTCTCTTTTTTTCTCAAAAAATGAAACCCCTATGAACATTTAAGAAGTCTTTTCCAGGTTACCTGGCTTGTTTCTCTCAGGAAAACATTTGTCCATGAAATCTGCAATATTTTCTCTGTATCTGTTAAAAATTAAAGAATGAGTCATTGTTTGAAGCTTTACACCATGGAAATGTATTAACATTTAATAACAATAAATAGCACAATAAGTAGCGCTGTGTTATCCTACATACACTTACCGACTTTCTTCTAAAACAAACTGAAGACCGAAGACTCTTCCTATTTAGCAAGTACCTTCTTATTTCTACATTAGTAGCGTTAAAACTATAGTCTCCATCAAGAAATTCTGACTTAAATATATGTACCTTATCATGATTTTGCCCAAAATAATTTATTATAAGTTTTCCTTTACCTAATTTTGGAATCTCTAACATAGTTAGGGTCTTTCAAATTATCCTCCCAAGGAAGATGGCCACTAAGCCACTGAATCATGCAATAGCCAAGGATTTCCAAATCACCACGTCTTGACGGGGCTATGAATACAAAAGAAGCAGGTTAAGCACCAAAATCACTTTGAGGTATAGTTTCAAATATATATAAACCAATAAGGTAAAACAGTCAATCTTACAGTCTTGTTTTTCATCACAACTTATCACTGCATTTAATAAAAGTACTGAATAAATATTGGGCAATAGGAAAGAAATAATTTATGTCCACCTAAGAACTTACTTTAAAATCCAAATAGACAAACTCTAGAGTTTCAAACTGAGACTATTGGTCTAGGAAATAAATTATAAAGCAGACACACATTTAATACTATCCTTGGAAAGCTCGAAGACACTAAAATGCTATAAGCTACGGAGAGGCCCAGAGAACTGGGGGTCTCAGCTCCTCCACAGTGCTGGGCACAGAAAAGCAAAATTCCTGCTAAAGGAACAGGCTGATTTCAGAGGTGACAAAGTCAGTTTGCCTGCTACAAAGTTGTGGCTGCATAAGAAGCTTACAGACTTTTAGGGGGAAAAAAAATTCCCCACATTCAACTAAGCTAAAAAGAACCAAAAGAAATCCTCAGTGAGCTGACCGAACCACCTTCCCTGCTAAAACCAAAGTCAGAAGAAGACCACCAGGGAAAGACCTCGTGGCCCCGTTACACGACGACAGGAGTCCAACCTCCTCCCCCGACCCTTTCCCCACCCTACCTTGCCTCTGCGATTCTTATTTATCTACTTGTTTATCTGTACAAAATTAAGAACGATGCAGGGTTTCAACTGAAATGTTAGCAGCATATTTCTCAGTCAGGCACCACTGACATACCGACACCATTGTGCGCATCAATGCTGGTGAATTCAATAGTGCCATCGTGACATCTTCTGGGGTCTTCTTTGTATTCTTTATGAATTCCTTCTGGGCAATACCGGTAAGCAAGGCCGTAATCTACCAAGTACACCTATAAATGTCCAAGCACCAAGAAAATCAAAGCCAAAATGATTGCACATATACTCCTTTATGGCCCAGAGACAAAATACTGTCATTCGAAGGTGGATTCATTTGCAAGGCCACCCCACTGTACCCCAAACAAGTGAGATCCAGTATGCTAACAAAAACAAATACTTAATCCTTACTTTTTTTTTTTTTTTTTTAAGATTTATTTATTTATTTTGACAGAGAGAGAGAGAGCACACATGCACGTGAGTGTGCAGGCGGGGAGGGGCAGAGGGAGAGAGAGTCTTAAGCAGACTCTGTGCTCAGTGCAGAGCCCACTGCAAGGCTTGATCTCAGGCCCCTGAGATCATGACCTGAGCCAAAACCAAGAGTCAGACACCTTACCGACTTTGCCACCCAGGCACGCCAATTCTGAAAGACCTTTTATTTCAAGAAAAATGTGAATGCTCACGTCACCACAGTCCAGATAATATCACCTGCCTCTATACACTTTAGGTAAGTATGTTATACTTGTAATTAATCCTGTCTCCTCAACTTGAGCAAAGACTATAAATCTTATACTTTTTCTTGCAGAGTCCAAAAGAGAATTAAGCACAGGGGAAACCATCAATACTTGTTGCAATACAACTGCCCCACACCAAGTATAAGACTGCCTACTTAGATGACACATGATAATTAATTATTTTCTATTCCTCTGCTCCTCCACTTATGAAATAATCAATTTATCAATTCATTTCATAAAATTATTTCCGATAATACCAATAATGATCTGAAGAATCTTTAGATAAGGCTCTTATCTCCATTTAAATATATATTAAAGTCAAGTTTCATAATTAAAACTAAATTTTAATATTACAAAGCATATATCTGTGGGCATGTACTTGTGGGTCTGATAAGCATACAAAGCCAGTAAATTTGGCTTTCTTCTATTCCATAGCCACATATCACATCTCTGATTCTGGGTAACTGTCTCACAAATGTATGCATGTGATCACAAGAGGAAACTGAAGTAAAAATATGGGGATGGATCTAGCACACACATCTAACACTAGAAAAATAATCCCATCCAAAGCATATGCCCGAAGGATAACGGAGCTGCAAAAATATTTTCCTATAAACAAAAGGCAGCATATTTTAGCTAACTGCAAACTGAACTAAACTGTATTTTTATTTATTGCATTGTACAAGTCCAATTCACTTCAATTAATGGAATCCTTACGGTTCAGGTTCTCAGCTATGTTGTTTTTGCTTGCTTGCTTTTAACCTTTTTAAAAACATCTAACACAAAACATCTGGGAATCCTGGGAGTGCCTGTAAGATTTCCCCACGAGCATGCTACAGTATAGGGACTTTCCTCTGTTGTACATGGAGATCCCTGACTGCCACCATGACAGAGACGGGGGATGGGGGCAATACCTGAGATGGTAGAAAACAGAGGGAAGGTGAAGGGAAAGGGAAAACTAAGCAAGAGAAAGTTAAAGATTGGTTTGAGAAAAAAATAAAATGGAGTGTCAACATAAACACACCTAAAATATTCAGATAGCCCTTTCTTATACACCATCAGTAAGATGCAAGAACATACATGGGACAGATTCCACACAGTGGCCTGACCAGGAGTGCCAACCAAACCTTACTTTAACCAAAATTGTGGAAACAGCTTCAAGAAAATTGCATAAACCCCTCCACTCCAACTAAACTGATCCAAATAAAGGTAAAATAACATTAGCTTTTCTCTTTTCCTTAAAAAGTAAAAATTACAAAGTGAACGCAATAAACTAAAAAAAAGTGCACATTTGAATTCTAAACACTAAGGGCATACAAATTTAGACAGCTAAGATATTTCTGTAAACCAATTGATTTGAATAATCAACATGTTAAAGACCAAATTTTCCAAGTAACAGAACACTTACATTTGATGGATTTCTTGAACAAAGGAAGTAAAAAAATGACAAAGCAGACAAGCAAACATAATTCATCGGTGCACTATATAATTTTAAGCTTCCACCCCCAAATAGCTATTTGAAATTCATTTTGTATCACAAGTACTTCTTCTGAATATTATTTAGGGCAAAATAGCCAACTTGATAAAGTGCCAACAAATCGCATCAAAAATGTAGAATGTTAACTAGATAAAAGTGTCAAGAAGAAATATTATTATTACCATATCTACTCCAAAAAGTAAAACTTCTGCACAGGTTCAAAAGTTCAAAGCAACCATATTTGTTTTCAAACAACAGCTTTTAAATAGTAGAAATTAAAGTTAATAAAGCTACCTGGTCAGGATTCTTGTAGCTCAAAAGAAGATTTGAGGCCTTGATATCTCCATGAACATACTCATGCTCGTGAATATATTCCAGAATATCCAGCTATGAAAGCATCATATAGAATAAATTAATGCAGTACCTAACACCAGCCAGCAGAGGACCGAGCTTCAACACAACTCGCCTTTACTGGATTAAAACAAGAGGAACGTAGCTCACATACAATTCTCAAGCTTAGCTGCAAGACAGTTTTCCGAGAAAACCTTCTGGCATTTGCTTCATATATTTTCTGAAGGTCACTCCCAAAGCGATCCATTATCATAAACCTGTAACTAAAGACAAACAAGAAAAGTCAATGAACAAAACAGAACTCTGGAAAACCTACTTTGCAGTGACTACTCTCCCTTCACAGTAATTTTTTCAAGGCCATGTTTAGTGAGAAAACAGAATGAAAGGGGAAGAAAGGGGAAAGAAGGAAAGAAAGAAAAACATCTGAAACCCTTTCTTCCAACTAGAAATCTCAAGAGTTGGGAGTGCTTCCCTGTGCTGCCCGGAGGGCCTCCTCCTGGTGGCAGCCAGGTGGTTTCCTGAGACACTACTCAAGGTGAGCTAATCAGCCTGCAGACAGATGCTCGCGATTCGTTCACAGGAAAGAGGAGACCATCCATGTATGACTAGTATCATGGATTTTCCTCACATCAAAGTTAATTTATGTTTCTGGATATTAGCTTGTTGTCTGTGACTGTTTTTCTCTACTTTCAGGGCACATTTTAGCAGTATTAACATTTTATTAAAATCGAGACTATCAACAGATGCTGTAACAATAGCTAAATCCAATAAAATTGTTTAAATTTAGGTATAAAAGGGCTGTATGTTAAATACTCAAAGGACAAAAGCTAGGGAAGAACAAATATCCTGGGGAAACGTGCAGATTTTTAGTTTTGCCACAAACCCACTAGGTCACCTTGGCCGAGTCACATTACTTCTGTGAGACCTAATTCCCACAGATACGGAATGACAGCATGGGGCCTCATGCGTGTTGAGGTCTTTTATGGCACTCAAATTCCAACATTTGACAACCGTAAGTGACATTTCTGTGTGTGCCCGAAAAGCAACATCTCACTCCAGTAACAGTTCACCGTATGCTCTGAGGATCACTTTTATCTTTATCAAGTTTTCCAGATTCTGACTCGTCTGGTTAAATCACTCCATAAATCAGTAAAAACCAAGACCACACTCACAATGTACCTTCCAATGGGGATAAGATTAGGGATGATGACCGTAACAACAGCAAGCATGGACTAAAGCCTTGGTATGAACACGGCATTGTTCTGAGTACTTCAGATGTGCTAGTGTGTGTCAACTTCACATCACCCTCGCGAGGTAGGGGCTCCTATTCGCCTCATTTTACAGCAGAAGAAAACCGATGATTGGTAATTTGTCCTGTAGGAAGTGGTGGCACCATGCTTTTTCAACTCTACACTAAACATATCCAAACAAATAAACGTCAGTGGTACACAAAAATCCCCTTATTTTTATCTGAGAAGCCTACAACACATACCATATGACACGTTCAACAGGAAAGGAAAGCTAACATTAAAAGACAACATGCCAAATTAAAAAAAAAATCAGGATTCTATCCAGTTTTGAATTGGAAGAGAATGAAAGATCAACTTGTCTAAACATCTTTTAATGAATAAATTAATTAAGGTCTATAGAGGTAAAGTGATTTGTCCAAAGTCATGCAGTTAGTGAGAGGCAAAATGCATTCATTCGTATAAGATTCTCCAGTACACTGCGATCTCTATCATCATAAAGAAGGAACAATAATTCTGACTTCCTGATTTCCTTTGTACAACAGGTTTTGAAAGGTTGGGGGATGAGAACAGGATACATGCACACATTTGTTTTTACAGAAAGTGATGTAATTAGTATAAAATAATACAAGGGTGACAAAAATACAACCTCTGCTAAGAGTCTAAAAGAGGGCTAAAACACAACTGCTTAATTCAACATGAGATCTATTGATACATCACACTGAGTACATCTTTGTTTTCATTCACAGACCACTCCACCAGTACTGTAAATCATCCCCTAATCGCCTGTTTCAAATTATACACATCAACTGATTTTCCATCATTTGCGTTTTATCATTTGCATTTATCCAAGTCTCCAGGAAAGAACACATTGATGGTTTCCATTACTGGCCTCAGGCTCCTTCCCCCTTCCACGTGCACACCCTATTCCTTGAGAAAGAGCAATGCAAGTGCCACAAGGCAGGCCAGAGACCTACCCTGCCCCTGCATTTGCAATACTCTCCCGCCTAAGACGCTATCCTGTTCTCCAGTGGTTTTCTAAATCAGTAGTTCTGAACATTTAAGGGATTAAGACCCCTTTGAGAGTAAAAGCTAAAGTAAAAGCTAACACAGTATTTTACATATATTCTAACAGCTTTACGTTTCATCCCCCTTATTAAGTGGGTAGCTGTTCTTCAATTTCACAGATGAGGAAATTGAGGCCAAAAGGAGTAACTTACCCAGTCACATACATTTTAAGGAGCAAAACACAGATTTGAAACCAAACAGTCTGGCTCTAGAATCCCTGCTCTATATGTAATTATTCCTTGCTCTATACTACTTCTCCAGAAATTTTCATAAAAACTATAGAGACTATCCCAGCAAAACCATATGTAACAAAAAAATGCTATCATTTCAGGAAGTTTGCCATATTCCCTAAGAGGTACACAGATCCCAGGATAAGAACTTCCAAGAAAACAAGAGCACTGGCTGCCCACCCCACAACCACCTCTCCTCTCCATCCTTTCCAACAGAGCACCAACTGGGTTCAAGCATTCCATCTTCTTCCACACGGCCGCATGCTCCGCCATGCCAATCGCTGTGCTCGCTCGGCCCTTGCCGGTGACTGGTTTAAGCATGAGCACCGATAAAACCCGGACCAAGAAACATGAGAGGAAGGGAGCTTCCTTTGCCAGGAAAGTGAAACACAGAACAAGCAATACCTCCTACTGCCGTGGGCTGTGTCTGCATGTGATGCCTAGAAATGGGGCAGCCACCTTGAGTCCACACAATGGAGAATTAATATAGCACAAAGCCAAGAGGAGGAGGGGAAAAGGGCAAGATAAAGGAACCTGGGTCCCTGACGACCACTTCAGAGAGCGGAGTCAAAGTTTTCCTTTACTTGCAGCTGAAAGCCCACCCTAACCAATATACCCCCAGGACCGAACTAAATCTACTTCTCAGACAGCTGCCAGCCTTACTCCAGGAAGTTCCATTCATTCATTCAAACATTTTTAAAATGTCAATCATGCACCAAAGTATGGGAGGTTTTCTCCAACTCAGCGGTGCCAACAAGGTTCTGTCTCCAATCTCAGAACTCCTGAGACACGAACGAAGCAGAGTCGCACAGTTTAGTAGCACTTAGTGGTTATAATTGTCTCATACTTGTTTGTGTTTTCTCACCAGCTAGACTGAAATGTCATAAAGAGGAGGACGCTGCCACGGGAAGATCATGTATATGAAACACCAAACTGCAGCCTGAAGTGCTCCCTTTCCCATAAACGACGTGGAGTTTTTGTTTGCTTGCTTGCTTATTTGTAAGAGGAAAAAATGCAGGGTGCATTTGCTTTGTTCCTACTCATCAGCTGGGCTCAAGTCAGTTGCTAGTGTTCTGCACAAGTCCTCCAGACTAGGGATAACGTCCTGTTCATCTCTGTTAAGTGCATGCCCTGCAGCCCAGATGGAGGCCTGGCAGAATTGCAGGTGCTCAGTAAACAATGGACAGTGAATGCTCAAAACAGGGAGAAGAAACACAAAACATGCAAATTTTTACCTTTTTCCATTTTTATCATGTAGGCCAGACCCCCAGTACTTAGGAACGCCCAGGTACTTCAGTTTATGGGTGCGAATCCACTTCTGAACTACAAGTTAAAACACACAGGCTTGTGATTCCACTTTTGTTTTACATGATTTTTTAAATCATTAAGAGCAGAATGTACTTAATACATGCAATAAGATTTCATCTTTTTTCATAAAAAAGTGAATACATTATAATAATAAGTACCTTGCAATCAAAGCATTTTTATTAACTCACAAAATTTTATCCTGCTCTAAACATTGTCTTTAAAATGAAAAATCTGGGACAGGCATTTAAAAAAAGAAAATCCAACCACAGTATGCCAGTTGCTGTTACTAGCTCTAATATAAATGGTTACTCACTTCTCCAGAAAGACTTTTTACCCAATCTGGAAGTTGTTTACCTCATTTCTAAAGGTCGTCAACCAGGATATAAAGCTGGGGGGGGGGGCCTGAAGAGGTCTAGCTCTCTTCCCTGCAGGCTGTTCTGATTCATCAATTACAGCATCCTCCTCTGCCCAGGTTATGTTCTCCAGAGTTTAGAAAAAAATCTCAAAAAGACTGAGAGTCCCATACATGAATTAGGATTACTTCTGAATTTTTAACAATATTTATTAAATCCTATATCCTCTACTAACTTTATTCTATATATCAATATAAGTGAAATCTTATATCAAACCCAATAAGAGATCAGAATTCTTTCATACAAATCTCATTAAAATGAAATTTACTTATGAAGTAAAAAACAAAAAGCATGGTAATATCAGATCCAGTGCTCTAGTCTTGTCTTCACACAACAAGCGGCAGTCACTTTAAGAGTGTAGACGTTAAGTGTGCCTTATTCCTTACTTTGCTCTGGTTTGGCAGCTCGCTGGTAGAACTTCAGTTCAGTAAAGAGAGGTCCATTGTCACTGGGCTCCTTAAAACATAAGAGGTAATTGGCGTTAGCAGTCGTTAACATTATGGAGTCATTTTTAATGAAACTTCAAAAAGCACTGATGTCAAAAAACATCAGTGTTTCTTTCCAATGTGATTGTGATAACTTAAGTTTGTAACTATGTTTAAGGCACACCCTCTTTCAAAATGTTTTAGATATTCTCAGAGGAGTCCATGAATCTTATATTTTTGTCAAGGTCCACTTCTGTAAGTGATAAAATGTTCAAACTCAGATATACAGCTCCATCTTCGCAGAAGTTTAAGAAAAATATTTAAACTCATTTTCATCTTTGTTAAGCTTTCTCTTAAGCAATAATTGGCAACCATGTGAACTGTTTCACCAAGGGGCTATCAGAATGTTATTTCTGAGATCTAATAAAATTCCAATACCCAACTTAACCAATCAGTGGCAAAATCCAATGCTTTTCCCTGTTTCTCAGTACACTTGTATCTAGTTGATCAGGACTGGCAGAAACCAACCTTGTCACAAAGAGAATTTTCTGGAACTCCACAGTGAGCAAGCACTGTCCACTTGTTACATCCCTTCCTTGCTGGCACTGATTCCCGCCTTTTTCAAACTAAGGAGCCCCAAAATTTACTTCTCACGTGATAATTCAAAGTCAAGAGGAAACCAGGGCTCGGTAATAATTGTTTTCCACCAACTTTACTGAACTACATTCATTTTACATTTTAAGGGATAGTAACAGTTAAAATGATTGTAAAGAGTTATGTATGCACAAAAAGGTATGGACAAACAAGAAATATCAGCCTGTTGGGAGCTTGCCTTGTTAAATAGACATGGAAGGGTAAAAAAGGTCTTACAATTTTGTGGACTTTTTAAATAGTAAGTTGTGTCTGAATCAAAAGTGGTTAGGATGTCATGTTTGATCATTTCTGTTGTTATTATCTTATTTATTGAGAACCCGAGAAAAATTCTGAAAAGCAGTGAAAACTTCAAATAAGGAAGCTAACATTTCCAAACTAATTCTAGGGTTGCTTTTCTTTTATGAAATACGGGAAGAAAGTCATTTTGGACAGAACATCTGTGTAGCTGGAGTTCCCAGGTCAGCAGAGCATTATAAGAAATGACAATGAGGCCCAGCAGCTTTAGGAATCCCTAGTTAAAGCACGTAGAGGAAGACTGGTCGGCCAATCTGCAAAGAGTCAGGCAGCACCTAGTTAAGAACGAGCACTCAACAGCAAACAGGCAACATATACAACTAACACACGGATCAGAACCTGGAAATAAACTTGCCTTGTTCCAGGTAAGTATACTTGTCTTAAGTATACAGAGTGGTACACAGGGCTTGGCATCTCATCACCTCTTAAGAACTAGAAACTAACCAACATATAAGGTATGAGTCCAAATCCCTAATTTTTGGACTCAGTACCTCAAGTTTCACCATAACCTGTGGCTCTTTTCTTGGCATCAGTGCTCTCTGGATAGACACCTGTACATGTTCAGAGCCCACAGCCAGGCCTTCAGCAGAAGCAGCAGTCTCCGTGAAAGAAATGAAAGAAGTAGTGGAAATTCACGAGAAGACATTTTGGTGAAGTTACTCTCCAAAGGCTAACTTTTAGAATAGCTTATTAATATAATTCAAGTTTGAAAGGGGTTTTCCTAAGACAAATCCTGGCTTATTACCATCATATAAAATTCTGATTCATTCCATTTCGACCTATGTCATATCAACTTTAATTTCCAAGCTTCCCTTCAGGCAATAATTTATTAAACTTATAATAATAAGAATCAACCTATATAAATCAGACTATTATAATGAAAGCCCCACTACAATGAAGGCTCTTTGAGCTCATTTCATACTTTTTTCTAATCTAATAAGGTTCCATTATAACAAAATAAAGGAGCTACTTCCTTGGCATTGCACTCTGGCCAAAGCTCACTATTTCTGTGGAAGAAAATACCTTAACTCATAACTAAAATTTTATTAACATATTTCAAATCTAAAATACTTTGCCAACTCTATAATAGCCAAGATTTAGAAAAGAAATTGGGACTGACATTTTAACTAGAATATCACTAAACGTTTCTTTAAGACTTCTAAGTGTCAAAATGAAGATGACAACAGAAAAAAAATTAAAATGTGATATATTTCAATGGCACCCTCTAAAAGCAACTGGCTGCCATTTAAAAATGTAGCTGTATAAAGTTTCCCCTTCCTACCAAAAAATTATGATATATGAATTGAAAATTCAGGTCACTTCTCATAAAGTCTGTGAGAGAAATTAAACATCAGTCTGCAAACTTCTTGCCAGGGAACTTCAAAATACAGACTTTATGTCCATTCACACGGTAAAGTGACCACGAAATAAGGAACTGTTAGGCTACAAGACCCAAAAGCCCGCCCTCCCCCCAGTTCTGCTCTGAGCTCACTGACATGACTGCAAAGGGGAAGTGTAACTGAAAACTAATTCGTTATCAAGGCTGTTAACAAGAAAACACAAAAGAGTATTTTTTTTCCTCCTTCCATTATCCAACTTATTACCAATTTCCCATTTCTCACTGCACATCATCTTTCCTGAGATAAAACAGATAGGGTATCTCAGTTATCTAAAGGCAGAGAATGCAAGTTTACCATCTCTGGTGCCCCCAGCACCACGGCTCCAAGGCTGCTCCCCTAAGTCAATAAGGAGTAAGGCCCTAAACAAAACCAGAACAGTCATTTGGTAGGAGAGAGAAAATATTCAGTATGTACCTAAACATCTAACTTGAATATGACTGTCTTAACTTCATTTCAAGACCAAATGTAAGAAATGCGTGGGTTAACTATCCGAAGCTCTTTCCTAGAGCAGGAATGCATATTAGCAGCAACCACATTTTTTGACAAATCTTCCACCCTGAGGTGGGAAGCCCTACCAGAAGCACAGGGAACCTGCTGCCTCACTGAATGAAAGGATCCCCAAAAGTACACATGAGCATGCATGATTCCACTGAAAATAATGAAGGTGCTCTGTGTACCAGACTCTACCAGTGGTTCTCAACCTTGAGGCACAAAAGAATCCCCTGGGGACCTTTACTAAAAATACCAATAACCAGGATCTGCACTCAGAGATTCTGATTATACCGCACAACCGGAGTGGAGAACCACTGTTTGATTTGGTATGCCACTGCATTATTAAGTCTAATTTCATATTAAAAATCAACTTGCCTTTGATTTTTTTTTAAGGATTTATTTATTTATTTGAGAGAGAGAAAGAGGGAGAGAGAGAGAGCAGGTACACAGAGAGAGAGGGAGAAGCAGACTCCCAGCTGAACAGGGAGGCCGATGTGGGCTCAATCCCAGGACATGGAGATCATGACCCAAGCTGAAGGTAGATGCTTAACCAACTGAGCCACCCAGCCTTCGATTATTTCTTAAATAACATTTGCTAAAGTGATTTTTCTCCAAAGATAATATATGTGCTTATTTTAGAAAATTTGGAAATATTTTGACATATTTTCTTCATATTTACAGCTGTTTTATAAAATGACCTCCATACTACACGTAGTTTTGTATCTTGCTTTTTTTTTAGTAATTACTTATGAAATTTCCCCAAAGAGTAGTACCTGTTCTTTGAAAACATGATTTTTAATAGACCCTAATGTTTTAAATGGCAAATGTTCATAAACATTTGATTTTCATACTGGAAGGATCTGATACTCATTTTACAGGCTTGTGTTTGGTGAACCATTTCCACCTTTAATATTATAAAGCTCTGAGAGCAAAAGACTTACAGAATAAGTAGTAGACAAGGCTACATCACAGCACGTCACAAGTGAAGGCAAATGATGCTACTTGAAAAGACACAGACCAGAGATCAAAGTGGGTGGCCCCAAGAAATCAAAAGGTGGCCGGAAATTATGGCTACAAAGTTTTCAGGAGAATAAAACAGGCATTTAAAAACGTGATAAAGAAAACAAGTTTACAACGAGGTCCTTAGCATTAAACAACTTGAAATCCAGCTAAGGAGAAAAACACATACAAAATTAAAAGCAACTGTGGCATGGGAAGGATATTAGCATCTGAAATGGTAAAATAAATGTAAACAGAATGAATGCTACTAGAGTTTCAAGGAATTCAGAGAGGATATGGATCTGGGAAGGAACCAGCAATAGCAGCTACTGGGCTCTCCCCGAGAGAGGAAAAGCAAAGTCAGTAACACTGATTTGTTTATGGCATTCTTCCAGGATCACAAACTACCACACTGAAAATGTTGCTAAAATATTAAATGCAAAAGAGAAATCAACTGACTATTTATCATTGTCCTAATGACAAAGAGGAGTAATACAGGCCAATGGAAAAAGAACTAAATTGGGGGACAGGAGAGATGCAGAGCATTAAACTAGGTTTGATAACAAAAGGCTTTAAAATTAGAAATAAAGAGTAATTTACTACCTTATTAAGCAGTTAGGAAATGCTTGTTCCTACTCATTTTTTTTCATAACTCTGTAAGTAAAACAGGTAGTACAAGTGAGGTTACATTAAATAACAACTAAAATACTTAGAATGACCCATAATAAAGAAGAGCATCTTCATTCTAAACTAAACCACGATTAGAAAAATCTCAGGCTATCCAGAAGAAAGACATGGTGACACATCAGCCCCACCTGTAAGGTGCGGCCCTGGTGCTGTCCCTTCCAACACATGGGGAGGGCAGTGCAGGTTAGCCAACTGCAAGGTAGTCACAGCCAACCACATTTTTTGAACCTCAAGACTATGAGAAGTCATAAGTGGACCTGCTCTCTTCTAACAATGGAAACTTTTTAAAGATCCTAAGAAGAAAGTAGTCTTGCCTGCAGATTTTAATTTTAATCTGTCGTATGAAAGACAAATGCAGATAACATTCTGCGTTTCCATACAAACAACCCAATTTAATAGTAAGAACTTTCCTTCCTCTGATACAGCAGCAAACTGAGTATTTCAAAAGAAATATTAGTCCACAAAGAGAGAAAAAAATCCAAAATGAAAGGGCTTAAAGAAAAGCAAAATGCCTGGTAGATATGCCCATCAAGGTATCAACTTTACTTACAGGCCTGACAGAGTAACTGGGACCCAATTAGCCCTCTGCTATAAACAAATATAAAAACTGGACAAAGCAGATGGACTCCCTCCTTTCAGACATTAGACAAAAGAGGCAGTATAGACTGTGATCTTTAAAAATTGGGAAACAAATCAGGGCATGTGGGTGACCAGTCAGGATCTCAGGGTCATGAGATAGGGCCCCGGAGTCAGGCTCTGTGCTCAGCAGGGAGTCTGCTTGAGATTCTCTCCTTCTGCCCCTACCTCCCCCTGCTCTCGCTCTCTCTCACTCTATCTAGTAAATAAATAAATAAAATCTTAAAAAAAGGGGAGGGGGAACAAACACAATGAGCCCCCAGCCAGACTCCACTTTCCTCACAGAGGCACCAGGAATAAAAAGGAGGTGATCCAGGATTCTGCAGGGCAAGAAGGAAACCGAGCGCCAATAACCCTGATGCCAAAACTAACCAATGAGAGTGGACATTTTTAAAATTTAGAAACATTAGGAAAAAAATTAAAGACCAATATCCCTCATGAACAAAGATGGAAAAATCCTTAACAAAATACTGGCAAATCAATGTCAGCATTATATATAAAGCATAATATACCATAACTAAGTAGAGTGTATGTTGTTTTTTTTTTTTAAAGATTTTATTTATTTATTTGAGAGAGAGAATGAGATAGAGAGAGAATGAGAAGGGGGAGGGGTCCAAGGGAGAAGCAGACTCACTGCCGAGCAGGGAGCCCGATGCGGGACTCTATCGCGGGACTCCAGGATCATGACCTGAGCCGAAGGCAGTCGCTTAACCAACTGAGCCACCCAGGCGCCCAAGTAGAGTGTATGTTAAGAATAAAAGTTTTACACTCAAATTACCAATCAATATTACTGCCACATTAACAGAATAAAGGAGAAAAATCCTATGATCCATCTCAAAAGGTGCAGAAAAAGCATTCAAAAAACCAAACAGGCAAACGACAAACTGGGAGAAAATATTTACAATGCACACATTTGGAACAGGACTTGCATCCAGAACAACTCTCTTACTACTCAATTGTAAAAAGCAAAACAACCCAGCTATTTCAAACAAACAAAAACTGAGGAGGCACGTCACAAAATACATGAATGGCCAATAAGCACAATTCCTTGGAAAAACTAATCAAAATCAGCCATCAGGTAAAACTCTGAGACACTACTATACACCCAACACCATGGCTGCAAAACAATCCAACCCACCTGACAACCACACATTCAAGGATCTGGAACAACCAGGACTCTCCTACCTCACTGGTGAATGTGTAAAATGGCACAACCACTTTGGAAATCTGTCTGGAACTTTCTTATAAATTTAAATATACACCTTCCCTATAAACCAGCAATTCTCCTCCCAGATATTTATCCAAGAGAAACAAAAACCTTGTACAAAAATTTTTATAAAAGCTTTATTCATAATAGCCAAAAATTCTATCAACAGGAAATGGAAAAAAAGACTATGTCTATATAATTTTCTGAGCAGTAAGACTGAACGAGTTAATTGATACACCAACAACATGAATGAGTCTATTAAACATTTTGTGGAGCATAAGAAGTCAGAAACAAAATAGTATATACTGTATAATATCATTTATACGACATTCTAGGCAAGAATAATCCACAGCACAAAAGAAAATTTTTTTTTTTTAAGAAAAAAAGAAACTCGGGTAAGTAGTTACCTCCAAGGGTGCAGGATGTATGGGTCTGACCAGAACACAGTATAAGAAATCTTTCTGGGGTGATAGAAATGTTGTATATTTTGATACAGGTGGGAGCTGTATAGGTATATGCACTTGTCAAAAGTATTCAAATTATTTAATATCTATGGATTTCCTTGTAAAAACTATGCCTGAATAAAAAAGTATTAAAAACAATCACTAAAACAATTCAGGTCCAAAAGAGTTAATTCACAAGGGACCAAATATATTCCTCATTGAAAAGAAAGTGAAATAAAACAAACCAAAACACGAACTTCAGGATAATTCTGATTTCTGTAGCCTTTAGAAAAAAAGGAGGGGTGGGGAACTTACGTAATTTGCCCAAATAACAGACCCTGTTATCTCTTCTATTATTTAACAAAAACATGTTCTTCACACAGAGTAAAGAACTTTGAGAGAGGAGTTAGAAATGTAACTTTTTAAGCAGAAAGATGCATAATATATTCTTAACAAAAAATAGTAGTTAAAATGCCTTTTAGTGCACCAGTGTGTAAGTTGACCTGACGATTCAAAGTATGCTTATATCAGACAGGATGCTGTCAATCTTTACTCATTACAAACTAATTTCAACATTAGTTTAGCAAAAAGAAGGTTCAAAGTGATCACAATTAAATAAATAATTTACTAAAATGGATGGAGAAGGGAAAACTGGAAATAAAATGAAAAAAATTGACCAAGTAGAAGTTCAGAAGCAAATGCAAGATAAAATACAATAAAATTTCATTAAACTAGTATAGTCTTGTGGGATATAAATAAAAAAGTAGCTCACCTATTGTAAATACAGCTGAAATAAAAAGAATGAGCTGAGTATTTTTATTCTACATTTGTACACCTCCATACTTTCATTCATTTTTCCCCCAAATACCAGGATCACTCTAATTTAAAAGAAAGGAAATGGACTTTTTGAACTAAATTACTTAAAACTATAAAGATACTTTTGTGTCTTATTAAACATTTATCAAACATTGTTAAAAATGTAGTACCTTATGGTTTCATTAATTCTAGTTATCAAAGAGGATGTCTTACAAAATAAATACTACACCATTCAACAAAAAAGAAAATCAGCTAAAATATTTTCTTACCACTTTTACAACACAGGGTGCATCGCTTCCCACCGATTTTGAAGAATTCCTATCAGCTGTTTGAAAAAGAGATATATGTAATATCAGAACAAGAAATAGCATTATTTTAATTAGCCTGTTACTAACACTTTGTTAATATTTAGGTCTGTATATCTATAACTCCTTGATAGAATAAATTTCAGTTCCCAAATATGTGTCTCAGGATATCAATACAGTATATTTCATCAATTTGAAGACTTTTTTTTTTCATGATTTACCATATCTGAAATTGGAAGGCATTTTATAATTGCTGGTATCTTCAATAGGATCATCCTAAGTATGGAAAACTCTGAGTTAAAGATTTCTTTAATTCAAAAGTACTCATGGCCTTTGATGTGCTAATGTGAGTTGTGAATTCCCAAGAGGATGATAACTGATGACATTTCTTAAATTTCACAAACCAGGGAACCTTTCTAAGAAGGGGCAAAAAAAAAAAAAGTAAGAGGGAGCTAAAGTTCCAAAAAACACTAATTTGGGGGAAAAAGAATTCATATGTATCAATAGTTCAGGCTGTTGGCGCTAGAACTTTGAACTGCCATCCATAATAATCGTCATGTGGCTGTCATTGTATTTCACGCAAATAAAGCACAGGTGCCCTGGAACACTGAGTCAGGAATATAAGGCTGCCCACATTAATGAAACAAATATTTTTACCAAGTACCTACGATATGCCAGTTTCTAGGAAATTGATTTAGTAATGAACAGGAAGAAATAATCGCTATGCTGCTCTTATGAAGCCAACAGTGGTAGGACACAGACAACAATTAAATATAAAGTATGCTTGATGGTGTAAGTGTAGGGAGAAAACGAACCGGGAAAGGAAGGCAGATGTGTTGCAAGCTCCTAACAGAAACCTCACTGACAGGGTGTCCCTGGAGCTGTGGTCTGAAGGCAGTGAGGGAGTAAGTCATGTAAATATCTGGGAAGAACATTCCAGGCAAACCAGCACAAAGGCCCTGACATGGAAGCCTCTGCCAGTCTGAGGAAAGCAAGAAGGCCAAAGTAGCTGGAGAAAAGTGAGAAAAGTGAGGTGGAAAGTAAGAAAGGACAGATCAGAAAAGCAGCAGGGACCAAACACCAGCATGACAGGTGACGTAAAGCTGTCACTACGACTGAACTGGAGAGCCACTGGAAGGTTCTAAGAAGAGGACTGGCAAAATCAGACTTGATTTTTTAAGAATTCTTCAGGCTTCTTAGTGAAGAATGGAGTGCAGAGGGCAAGGGCAGAAGCAGGGAGGTTTGCCAGGCTATGACGAGACGTGGTAGCAGACAAGGTGGTGATAAGTGGTCACACTGTGGACATATGTTCAAAGAAGAGCCAAAAGGAGATGCTGATAAACTGGATATGGAGGGCAAGCGGGGAAAAGGAGGTAAGGAGGCCTCCAGGTTTTCAGCCTGAGCAACTGGAAAGAGGAAGTTGCTACTGACTAAGATGGAGGAAGCTGCAGGAAGAGCTGGTGCTTTAGGGAGCCTTATGTCTGAGATGCTTAGTAAACATTCAAGTTCACATGTTAAGCAGGCAGTTGATATACAAGTCTTGAGTTCAGAAGAATGGTCCAAGTTGGAGAAATAAACTTAAGAGTCACCGACATCAAAACACTACTCATTTAAAGCTAAGACCCTAGGGCATGAGTGTAGTGGAGAAAAGAAGAAACCCTAGGCCTGAGCCCCAAGGCATTCTCCTGTTAGACGGTGAAAAGACAAAGAAGGACCGGCAAAGGAAAACAAGAAACCACCAATCAGCTGGGAACGGCAGGATTTTGAAGAAACCGCAGCTACAGTACTTCAGAGTGAAGAAGGAATGCGAGTCACAAAAACAGCTACCATAGGCAGATGGAAAGGTGTGACCTCCAAGACACATCACTAAGATGCTGATTAGTAATAAAGCAAGATTAGATCTTTTTAAATAAGCACTTAATGTACAAAATATTAAAATAAGGATAGTATCCCAATAATACAACACAGTTCAAATGAGGAAAGGAGGAAAAGGAAGCTCAATAATTCAAACATTATGTGCTACAAAATACGCGAGGTACTAGGAACCCAGTAAGAGATGCCCTGTTGCCGAGAAAGAAAAGTAATTTCAATACAGCATGGAACGTACTGTGAAAGGGTTAACACAAAGGGCCTATAAACAGATAGTACCTGCCCTAACCTCAGCTTGGGAAAAATTAAACAAGAGAAGCATCACATATGGAGATCAAGAGGCAAAGGGCAGCAGGATGGCTGAAGCACAGATCCTGAGGAAATAAGACCGATGAAGATTAAAGCTACATAGGGACCAGACCAGAGGGAGGGTCTCGTATGCCATTCTCCTATGTCTGGCACTTTTATCCCCAGCCCAGGGGGAGCCATTCTGGAAATTTAACTAGGCTAGATCACTCAAGCCACAGCGTGAACAGTGGGATGCAAGGGGGCAAGACCGAACAGAGAAGAATCACTGCCGCAGTGAGGATCCCAACAAGACCTGAAAATGACCGGCGCCAAGACAGGGTCGGCAAAGAGGAAGAGAAAGTGCAGAGTTAAAGCCGCTGGACTAGAGGAAGAAGTACTAGGGTCGCTGGTAAAGGAAGACTTGAGAATGCCTTCCGGTGTCTGGCTTGATATACGCCTCTCCTGGTCACGAGAGAGCCGGCAGGCATCCACAGAGAGCGCACTGTAGGCCCCTGGCCGTGGGCCCGCACTCAGGAGATCAAGTCCCAGGCTACAGGTAAGAGATGGGGAAGTGGACAGTAAAAAGACATCAAGAGCAGCCATGAAATCGATGACAGCACTCAGAGAGAACACATGGAAGGAAAAGTGAACCAAGGAAGAAAAGTTGGAGAACACAGAAGTCGCTCTGAGGATGACCATGGACCTCCAGAAGCAGCGGGAAAGCAAGAGGGAATGTGTTCCCGTGAAAGACACGGGAGCAATCTTTCTGAGAAGGAAACATAAACAGTAGCGAATGCTGCAGAAAATATCCAAAGAAAATTCAAAAGCAATCTTTTTAATTCATCAGTAGAAACCGTTGATGATCTTGAATATGGCTGCTTTTGTGTATCAGTGGGCACAGAGAGACAAACTGGAGGCAGCAATACTAAAGCAAATCCATATTGATCAATCCAGCTTTACAAAAGCAAAGCTTTATTACAGAAATCTGTCAAATCATTGAATATTAAAAAATAGTACTATTAGATGGCACTTTCTAATGATAAATATAAATACCAATAAAATAGCACAAATGCAATGCGAGTTGCAAATGTTCCAAAGGTTACAAAAGCAAATTAACTAATACAAAATGAAGAACTTACTTGCTTCAAGTTCCCATTCTGAACATGGGATGTCCTAAGTCCACACATTCTGCAGCACAGACACTTTATAGAATCTACCATCTCTAACCCACAAGGTCAAACCCTATATACCTGGCCAACATAGCCACTAACCTTTCCTGGTTTATGAGGATTTTCACCTTAATAGATAGCCTAGTTTACTAGAACAGGCTTGGCCCTGAACAAACCTAAAGAATCAATACCTGTCTCCCAAAGGCAGGTGCCGCTGACCTAGAGAAATCTACAACATACAGTAGAGCACTGGGCTTCAAGCTGTCTCATGAACACACCCCTAGAGACTGCAGCTAACCCCACACCCCGCTGGTCCTGGAGGAGTTGGAGTCGGACCCTCCTGAGTAAGAGCTCTTGATCTCCATCAGTGGCTCTCACACGTCAGCATGCATCTGAATCACCTGGGAGACTTGTTCAGTTGCTTTGCTGGGCCCTCTCCCTACATACAGCGTCTGATTCCTAGGCCCAGAGTAGGACCCAAGAATCTCAGAGCTAAGAAGTTGCCACTACTAATGCTGACCTAGTAACAAATATTAGTATCCTGAGTAAGACGTTGCTTGAAAGAAAAAAGAGTTCCTTTACTAAAAATAAAATTTTATTAAACCTCATGGCAGAAATTAAATAATTAAGTAAATAACTAAATCAAGATTAAAGGTGGAATAAGGGCCTATGATGGAAAAGTTAGAAAGAAATTTCAAAAGCAAACATGATAGTAGGAAGGGAAAAATGAAGGGGGGAAATCGGAGGGGGAGATGAACCATGAGAGACTATGGACTCTGAGAAACAAACTGAGGGTTCTAGAGGGGAGGGGGTGACAAAAGGGTTAGCCTGGTGATGGGTATTAAGGAGGGCACGTATTGAATGGAGCACTGGGTGTTATACGCAAACAATGAATCATTGAATACTACATAAAAAACTAATGATGTAATGTATGGTGATTAACATAACATAATAAAATAAAATTTAAAAAAAAGCAAACCTGAAATATACTGTATCACTATTAATACTCTGGGTGAAGCAGTCAGCTTTAGAAACAATCAGGTAAAATATTTTTATATCAACAATTTAGTTAGCCTATAGAACTCAGGGTTCCACATAGGTCCCTCAAAATTTCAGGCTAAGTATCTTAATTAATAGCACATTTAATCAGGCCTAGTATGCAATTTTTAGGTCATTCTCTCAATTCCACTACAATGACTACTAGGGTTATATAGAAAGAAAAAAATCCATACCTGTTATCTAAAAATCTCCAAATTAAACCAAAACAGAGGGAATAAAATCCCAACTGAGTGGAGGTGGGGAAAGAAAGATGGCCATGGCTTTCTCTGGGTCTCAGAAGAGTTAAGATTATACAGAATCTCTTAAAAATCTAAAGGATAATAAAATTAAATCTAAAGGATAATATCACCCTCTCTTTCTACTGTGATTAAATCAACTACCATTCTTTCCACTCCTGTGTCATTGATGCATCTTTGCCAAATCATACAGTATTAAGTTGAATATAGGTAATTAGGAACATCCTGTAAAAGCTCCTAACTGAGAAACTATTTTGATAAGAAACATGTAAATCTTTGGACTGGTACACTTACCAAGATATATACAACCGAAGCCACCCTGGCCAATGGGCGACCCTAGTTTCCACTCCTTCTTCGTCATATCAGTGATTATCTCCCCAGCTGCAAAGTGTTCTGCAAGTCGTCTCTTTCCAGGGCCCTGTCTTCCAGCTTGAGCTGCTTTTACACGAGGCATTTTCACTATAAAATGAAAGAAAGCGACACTCAGAATTCTAATCCTCAAAATGCTGAAAACATTTTCCACTAAGGAAAGCTCTGTGCTACAAAGGTACTTTTCAAATGTGGACAAGGATTTATGACATGACAGGAGATATTTTACACATAGGCCCCAATCCATCCTCACATCTCTGTGAAGATTACATTATCATCCCCATTTTACAGATGAGGAAATGAAGGCTCGGCAAAGTTTAGCAAGCTGTCCAAGGCTATGTACCTAGAAAGTGGCAAAGCAACAGAAATCTGCTCTTGAGGACTAACCTGGCTTCTGGCTTCAAAGCCTCAACACCACCGCCCACAATTACAAAAGTCACCACAGTGAAGGAGAGGACCTTTCAAAACAGTGACAAGGGAACAGTGGCTCTTTGGTCATTTGGCTTCACAGACAAGGCCAAGCTGGTGACTCCCAGCGCTCCATGCTTCCCTTCTCACCCCTTGGCAGTGAATCTGGATTCACCTTTCTCACTCACGGCCAAGGTTAACATAACATTCAGAGAAAACAGCGTGTTATGGTAAAAACTGCCCTGGGCTAGACTCAAAAGCCCCAGATTTCAGTGCAGCTATGATACCAGTTAGTCTGGAGACTGTGATCAAGTCACTTCTCTCTGGGCTTTAACTGCCCTGAGATGTAGTGAAAGACCCCCCCTCGGTCAGGGAGCCTGCTTCTCCCTCTGCCTCTGCCCCTTCCCCCATCTCATGCGCTCTCTCTCTCTCTCAAATAAATAAATATTTAAAACAAATACTTTCTCAGAGGCTATAGTCTGCAACACTTGAAATGGTTGTTCAGGTGAAAGACAGGTTTGTTACATTACATAAGGTGGTTTGCTTTGGAGCCTAGATATTCCAAGTACATATACAAAATACTAGAGGGGGATTTTTTTTTTTTTTAGCAAATCTCCAGCCACTATCACACCACATACATAAACTCCATATATGCAAATACTCTTTATTAACTTATTGGGGATTTTTAAATTTAATTTGTCCTATAGAATACCAATCCCTCTTCATTCTCTAACAAAACATCTTCAAAATAAATGAATGTGGCTATTTCTTCCTATCAAACAATTCTCTAAATGTGTATTTTTAATCATTATAAAATCCTTCTGAATGGAATTTCAGTGTAAACTGTAACAGACCAGACTCAATACACCAGACAAGGTGACTTTTACAGCTATGGTTGTAGACTGAGTGCAAGAAATAACCAAAACCAAAAAAACGGAAAAAAAAAAAAAAAGAACCAAGGCATAGCACTTCCAAATACTAAAATGGATGCCTTCTAAATTTACCCCACTGTAACAAATCATCAGAGTAATCTCTTATTTGATGATTTCCTTATAGTAGTCAAGACAATTTAAAATGAGTTTAAAAAAAATATTTTCCTCTTTCTGTAACTCAAGATAGTAACCAGACTATCTTTTGTGTTTTACTGGAATTCTTTTCCAAAAGTGACCATATTTCAGATGAAATATGCTAGCTCACCTTCTACTCAATATAAATTGTAGTCAACAAAAAGTATTTTTCCTCCAAATTAAGTGGTTAGCTTTTACTCTTGAGTTTTATTCCTATAGCCTACTTGTAACAATTAACGCAGTCTGGAATGACTTTCTTTCCTTCCTAAAAGCAGTCCCACAGAATCAGCCATCACCGTGAGTCTCCCGAATCCCTGAACAAACCACTGCTTCCAAAGGTTCGCTGCTACTGAAGATGGTGGGACTGGCAGCGCACCTGTTTAATCTCCCCAAATTTCCCCATAAAACCAAATAGGACAACTAGAGAGCAGGACTCAAACCCGATGGGCAACATCTACAACAAAACTAAGCGACAGTATTCCCTACATCCACAAACCCCAAAACGGGAGTGGGTGAAGAAGCCTCAGACAGCAAGATGACCCACATGCTACCAGCAGCTGTGAGGGAAGTAGCAGAAGTGAGGGCGGTGTCTCTGATGAATCTAAGAATCCCCAAGTTACTTCTCAGAAACACAGAGACAACGTGGGAACAGCAGCCCAAGCTGGGAAGGGCTGTGCATACTCCAGCCGCCGGCTCATGCGGGGCTCTGCTGGAGGGGCTGGAGCAGGCTGGCCTCCACAACTCTGCAAGACCAACCAGCCAAAACACTCTCAGGTCAAAACCTCCCCAGGTGGACAAGAAACGGCTGGGAATGGAATCCAAACTGAGCATCACAAAGCTAATACCTTGAAAAAGAAGGTTCAAACACAAAAGTGGATCTGTAAGTTAGCCTCCACTGTTTTGGAACACTATACCAAAACAAAACAAAACAGAAGAGGCGGCTCTAGAAAATGACAAAGTCAACCTGAACTATACCATCTAGAACTAATTGCACATAGAAGAAAAATAATTGCTTATAAAACTCAGCAACAAAAAAGGATCAAGGCCTAGTCCCGTGCAAATTGAAATTTTTTTAAAAATCCCTGCAGAAAAATACATAAAACATGCTTGCCAAAAAGTTGAGAACTATCAACCAATATTTCAAAACAAGCTTAAAAATCTTTATATAGAAAGGTTAACAAGAGATCAGAATTAGAAAAACTCAGAGACCAAGTGATAGAAGGAAATAACTAAAAAGTCACAATCATTTGAGAGATGAAAACTAAGCTAGAAGAAACATCAGACTGAAGACAATTTAAACACAGTGACTTAACAAAAATAGAAAGTGAAAAGGAAAAAAATTTTAAAATCAAAAAGGGTGAAAAAGATAAATATTTCAAGAGAAAATCATAGATTTAGAATGCAGAAAAAGAAAAGCCAGTGAACATATAACAAAGAAACTCAAAGCAAGGGAACAGAATACTAAAAATGCTTTAATCTAAGAAGACTTTCCTAAACTTTAAAAAAAAAAAAAAGTGAAATTACAAAATGAAAGGTCACACCTTACACAGTACATGGAGAAATCAACCCAGGACAACCCACACTCCGACATCACCTAGTAAAATTACAGAACTCCGCAAAAAAGAAAGTATTCTTTGAGCATCCAGGCCAAAAACAGATCTTTTATAAGGAAAATAAATCAGACTGTCATCACTCTGACAGCAACACTTACGCCAGAAAAAAAAAGGGGAAGTAACATAGTTAAGACAAAACAAGAACTGAAGATTTTATACTCAGTTAAATTTCAAGTATAAAGACCAGAGTGTTCTCTACATGGAAAAAGGGAGTAAGAATCCACCAGAGAATAAGCCTCAGATATCCAAAATGCCTAAAGAAACATCGCTGTAAGAACTGATAGTGAGTGGTAAGCAGATACTGATTTGTAGAAGTAAGACTCAACAAGGACTATAAGGAGAGGACAGCATATATAATGGGTGTATGTTCTGATGAAGTAGATACAGTACAACTGTAAAACATGGGAGAACATATGCAAAAACACCCAACTCTCCAGTAATCATACTATAAGTGATACTTGGTTTTGTAAACTAAGGTTACTGTACACATAGCTGTGGAATAATGCAAATGAGTAATTATGTGATATTTTAATCCTGCCATCCCCTTGTATCCTTAAAAATCGAGATTCAAATACGAAAGAAAGGGGATCTAGATGACAGAAAAGGTTAAAAATGCTGTATTTGAAAATACTTTTCAGAGGTTATTTTATTTTTTACAAAATGCACGCATGTGCGCGCACACACACACACACACACACACACACCACCGTTGCATTTCCTAGCCCTAGCCACAAAAAAGCTTAGAAACAAATAACCAACCCAGTAGTAATGAGTATCTCTAATATACAAATTGTACTCTTAAAAATACTGTTTCTTGTCAAAGAAACCAGATTCCTTGAAGAGAGGACTGATTCCAGATGTGGAGCCAGAAATGTACAAGACAGACTTGGAACATCTTGTCATTTCCAGGTGTCAAGGAAGCTATCAGAAACTACTAGAGTGATGTCAGATATGTCTAAGGAACCAACTTAGGTGTTTCCACTGACCAAAGATGGGCCAATGTGAGTCAATAAAGATAATAACTGCTATGGATTAAAACACATAAAATGGGTAAATCCAAGAGTTTGTAATAGTTAAGAAAACCTAAGCGGTCACCTCTAGAGAATAATAGGAAACCACTCAATTTTGAAAGCTGCTTTAAAAAAAAAAAGGAAGGAAAAGAATCAAGCATTTATCCTTCCTTTCTTATATGAATTGTACCACTGGGTAACCAAATATTAGATGAAGAGAAATTTCTCCTTATGGAAAAATTTCAGCTAATAAATGAGTAAGAATGGTTTTAGGTTAACACCATTTCCACCTCCTAATGAATTAATGGATCTAGACACTGAGCACTGATAGCTACTAACATCAAAATATGAGAGATGTCCAGACATATTATACGCCTCTTGATAAAAGTACATGCCACTACCCGTGAAGTAATCTTGCCAAAAAAGAAAAATAAAAAATTAATAGACCCTGAATCTGATCAAGCCTATCGATTCACAGGATATGAAAAGAACAGAAGAACACAACCAACTATAGCACAGGAATGCAATCAGCAAAGTCCCAAGGGTGAGAAACCCTAGAGTACATATAATCCCATTTCTTCAACAGATAAGGGGCAAAAAAGAAGAGATGGGGGAGAAGAGAACCAGATGCAGAAAGACTTAAAACAACATATCCAAAACAAAAGAAAATCAGGCAAAACTACACCGCAGTTTAGGGATGCATATCTGCGTGGTAAACCGATAAAAAAAGGCAGCGATCGCCCTAAAGACAAAAGTTACTTTCAGGAAGTGTAAGAAAGTTGTGATGAGGACGAGCAGGTGGTTCTAGTTCATGATGTGGGTGGCGGTTCTAACAGTACCTTATAATTCATTAGGTCTGTATCTGCTTAATAAGGTCTTCTGTATTGTGAAATATTTTATGGTTTTAAGCATTAAAAAATTGCTGTTCCTATAATTAACAATCACCAAGGGACAGAAACTGAGAATCTTTTCATACTCTATGAGCTT